GGGCTCTATCTGACTTGCTGCAACTCTAATGCACTCTGCGAGAGGCTCACAGTGTCCGGTGAAATCAGAGTCAGCTATTTTGAAAGGAAGGTCAGAAAAAAGGTGACCTCTGACCTTCCTTTCAGTTTTTTGAGTCTTTTAGAATTTTGCTATAACAATTTTTTTTGTACTCAAAGAAGAGGAAACACATTTCATACACCAATGTCATTGTGTCAGCTCATGGATTTCCTTTATCTACACTGCACTGTGTACCCACTGAACAGATAACGGCAACAGTTGCTGTTTTAACAAGCATGATCTGAGGGAAAGCACATGCCATTAATTTCCGGCCTGTCTCTGCACTCCGATAGATGTATTGTAAACGCCCAGCAATCAAATTTCTACTATGAGCTGCCAAACTGCGCCCACCACTGAGCTTGGAAGTGCCCATTTGTGCGTACGCTTAAAAACTATACTTATTGTAAATGGAGCCACATGAAATGAGAGCCCCAGCGTGACTCATCGTTGTACTCAATCTGTGGTAATTGCTGACATTACTTAGTAAAATTGCAGCGCTGGAGACTTCTGGAAACAATTTCTTTATTGACTGGTTGCCCGGCAACAACTTCTGGGCCAGACGGCTCTGTGTCATATCCCCGGGGATCTCCTTCATTCTCTGAAAGTTTCTAGTTTTTTTTTTACACTGAATTTCCCAGTTTCCAGAAATAAGTATTCATAGCGAGACAAGGGAGTGGGTGGGGGATCATGGTTATGTTTTAATAACTTTCTATCATTTAGGCAATTTACAAGGCAAACAATCTAGTTTGATCCAACTGGAGGTGTTTTTGTAAGAGGTATTTTGTCTTGAGTCATTACAAATTACGCCCAAGTAGTGGATCATTAATTTGCCACAGAAAATCTAGATTTTTAAGGCCGATTTTATACCGTCTATGACCCATCCATCCAGGGCCGTTTAAATTAATAGGTGGGCACAGGGCAAATATCTCATGGGAGGGCCTGCATTTCCTAAAATGAAGGCCTCATTCAGACTTTCAATTAGGGCTCTATTGTGAATTCTGGCCGCTCAGCCTATACAAAACAATGACAGGCTATCGGTGGCCACAGCTCCAACACTGTGACCTCTTCCTATCTGGTTAGGAAATGTGTGATTCTTTTTTTTTTTTTTTTGGTGGACTGATTCTTTCAAGTGAAACTCCACTTTCAATGCGATAAAAGCATTGTGATTTTAGCACATAGTCAACACAAAAGTGATATTTAGAGGGTTATTCACAAAGCTAGCCGAAGGATCAGCTGTAGCTCTGGCTGATCCTTTGGCTAGCTTTGGCCGCCGGGGCCCTTCGGTTCAGTAGAACCAAAGGGCTGCTGTACGGGCTATTCACTATATGCTTCGGCTCGACTGAGCCGGAGTGAAACCCGAAGCGGGACGATCAGCCGGCCAAGAAAGCCTTGCAAATGACAGCGCGGCTGAGCCAGCCTTCATCTTACGGCTGGCTCTGGCCAGTTGCAATGACAGATCAACATCCCCAGGTTACCTGGGGACGCTGAATTGTCATTACACAATGACAACTTGGTGGAACAGATCTGTCATTGCAACTGGACGGAGCCAGCCGTGAGATCACAGCCGGCTCCGCCAAGTTGTTATTCATTGGCCTACTTTTTCCACTGTTTTAATATTCTGCTCAGTACCACGGAGGTACCGAACAGAATAGCCGAACTGAATACTGAAAAATGGCCTGGATGGGAAGGGGGTTTAACACCGCGGATGTCAACTGGTTAATATACTCAATTCATAATGTCTACACATATAAATATGCTAAAATTCATCCATATAAAACCTGATGTACGGCTGATTTCAGCCGTTGTATGGCTGAAATCAGCCCTACAAGCCTGAAGTGAAAAGCTGAACACATTCGGCTCACTTCACTTCGGTTCGTGTGTTCACTTGGCTGCCTACGGCAGCTTTGTGAATAACCCTCTTAGTTATAGGTGTGGCCTCTTGAGTCATCCACTGGGTACTTTTATGTCTTGGACACTCAAATAATCTCTTCCTCTTTGCATAGAAAATGTGTTTTATTGATTTTTTTTTGGGGTGCACTGATCCTTTAACCTGTATATCTTACTTTGATCAGACAAAAAAAATACTTTGGCACACTACAAGCTTTAATGTCATATTTTCCACTAGTAAGGTATTTATTGCCATAATACATATCGCCTGAGGGTTGGCCTGTAGGGGTCAGGTTAAGGGTTAAGTTTAGGGGTTATGTTGATTTAGGGTTAGGGGCTGCTTTGAGGTTAAAGGTCAGTAAGTAACTATTATGATCATGTCAGTCTGGTGATCTTTGGGCCATCTGGCAGTTTATAGCCGAACGTTGGGCAAACCACTAAATACACATATGTGAACCATAAAAGGATTTTAAATTTTCTCCAGCCACTTTAGTCATTCATACACTTCCACCAGACTATACAGATAGCAAAGTGAAACCACTTCTCGGTTTGGTTAAAAGAGAAGTAAACCAAATCTATACACGACTCTCTGTATAACTGAAATATCACTTTTGGAACACCGGTTGAGATGAACATATAGGCTGCCATTGCTGACCATTCCTTTGCAAAGTGTCATCTAGTGCCATCAGTACTTTTTGAGTGACCAATGCCAGGCCGCTAGCATTTTCAGAAGGAGATCAGCAATAGCAGTGTTTTTAGTACAGGTTTGCTTGAGGTTCTATTCTGAGTTTGCTGGTGACAATTCAGGCAATATGGTAGAGGCATTATCCCTTTACAGGGCCTAGGAGTGAGTCAGTGTCCTGGGCACCGTCCTTCCAGAAGAGGCATATTGGGGAGGTATATAGATGAGGTGGTGTAGACACGGCCACAGCTCACGTACAGTGATAGTGGGATCACAGAAATGGGAATGTGGGAACACAGTGATATTTAATGAGTGAGTTGAGGATTTATGAAGGAAATGGCAGAAGCTAATATCACTGCCCAGTTTTCCACAATTCTGTTCCAGTGAGGTTAGCTGAGTCATAACCAGAGACGCGGGGCCCCAGATTTCCTATACACCCATCTGCGTATTGCAGTGGGCACTGCAGGAATCCAGGCTGACTCATCGTGGACAATGCAGATCTGTTTTATAGATGGATGTGTGAAGCAGCTTCTCCGACCGTCCATGAATGTTCCCGCCAATATAGCCTGCAGATATGGAAAACCTATCAGTATATAAATAAATGCATGATTTAACTCTATAGTATTGCATTTGTTACCTTTAAAGCATAAGTAAAGTAAGTAAAATAAAAACCATACTACAGTATATGGCACTGCGGTATTGTGTGTAGCACTGATCCCCCCTAAGCAGCCACTGGATTTCAGGGACGCCCCCTAGTGTGTCTATTGTTGATCTGGCCTAGAGCTGCCCCAGAGCCCCCCTGGAATGTCTGCTTCAGGCCCTCATGCTTCTGAATTCATTATTTTGTATGTGCTAGAAGTCTTGGCCAGTATTTTATTTTTATGACATTGCCTTATTGGCACACATTAGTGTGCAAGTCATGCTTGACATCTACTATAATATGCATGCCTAACTAGTTACTGTTCTATTACAACAGGATGTGGCGGGGAGTTGTCGGGTCCCACTGGCTCCTTCAGCAGCCCTGGATATCCCATGAAGTACCCAAATAACATAGAGTGTATCTGGTATATCCGCACCTCTCCCGGAAGCAGCATCCAGATCACTATACTGGAGTTTAGTATTGAGTACCAGAGTACATGTGGCTATGATGTGCTGGAGGTGAGTGTTGGTGCATAAGGCCACACACTTTGAATAGGACCCTAGCTAATTTGTTTCTTTTTCAGTTTTGGATTCAGTGGGAAAGGTTTATATATCTGTGGCTCCTTTAAAAAGATTTTCTCTTACTTCCTGCATCTGTGACACTAGAAAATAAAAATAGAGGGTATGGTTGTCACCAAGACAGGAAGGGACAAACACCAATAAAAAGTTGTGGTTAATTTACTAAAGGAGTAGCGTGTGTTCACTTTGCAAAGTAAATTTTCACTTAGTTTACTGAATGAGACAAAGCTAAGTGAAAGTTCACTTTACAAACAATACCCAATCATGTGCAAGGAAAATGTTAAAGACTTTTGCTTGCAGATTATTGGACGATTAAAATCAGCACAGCTTCATCTCATTCTCTTTGAAAATTCACTTTGCAATGTGAACATTCACTACTGTTTTAGCAAATCCACCCAATTGCCAGAGGTTCTAAACTTTGCACACTCTGTTAAAAGTGTTTTTGTCTGTTTCCCCATTGAACAGCTTTCCCATTAATTCTTGTCCTGAGAGGAAGTGAGGGGGAACCTCCACAGTAGGGACTTACCAAAAACAAACTGAAAGAGACTGGAGTTGGACTTAAAACATATACAGCGATATCACTCATATTACGTGATAAAAGGTTTGCAATTTGTTTACTTGTAATCCATCCCCCCCGGTGGTCTGTATAGCTGTATAGACTAAAGAGAGCCACAACACAAAGCTTAAAAGAGAACTATGGCCCAACCTTTTTTGGCCATAGTCATCTTAAGGATCTTAAGGATCACAGGAGGGCATATACTATGTCCTCCTGTGACCCAAAACTCAGCATATGGTGGGTTGTTGCCTGCTATGTGCTGAGAGTGCAGAGCCGCACTGCAGCTGGGCAGATCCCAACAATGTTGTCCAGATTCACCCCGCTGGCTGATTGACAGCTGGCTCTACCTCTCTAGAGACAGAGACAGCTGTGCCTGCCCCCTCCCCATCTGTTCCTCCAATCAGCACTGGAGGTAGTGAGAGGAGAGGGGGTAATCTGTACGGGGAGCAGTGAATGACAGTCACTGCTCTCTGCAGGGAGATGATCGGGAAATGAGCGATCGGCGGTAGTTTCTGATCAATAGAGCCGACATGTGACAGCTGCAGTGTCACACGTCGGCTCTTATTATGGTGAAGAGTGTATTTCACTCTCCCCATAATTCTCCTTTAAGGAATCATAAAACTTGAGGACATTTTGGAGATAACAGCCAAATTTTGGGAAGTCAATAACTAGTCATTATAGACTTAGAGTTACAGAGTGTTCTTGATACACTATACTGTATAGCCAAACATTTGTGGACACCCAGGACAGCCATCCGAAAATGTTGGGGCCCCTTACACAGCTTTAAGCCGCGGCCCCCTGCACCGACGCCACACTGAGCCAGTCACAATGTTATTATTTTACATTTATATAGCTCTGACATCAGTATACCACAGTGCTGTACAGAGAACACTGAGCCAGTCACATCTGTCTCTGTACAGAGGAGCTTACACTCTCATGCAGAATGGCAACGGCTGTAAGAGGACTACAAATCCCAGCAATACATTTATACAGCAATGCAGAACAGTATATGAATTGGACGCAGGGCTTAGTGACAGAGGACCCACTTGAGACCCCACACATGCCTGAGAGTCACCCTGCAGAGCCCACCATAGATGCTGCACATCCGATACTCTCTATGGTGGGCTCTGCAGAGGTCTCAGGTGGGCTTGCCAGGGCTGCATCTCTCTCTTCCTCTCTCCCCCAGCTCCTCTTACCTGCTCCCCTGGCCTCCTCTGCTGCCGGACTGGCTGGAAGTGACGTGATGTCACTTCCGGCCGGTCCGAGAACAGAACAGCAGCGGCGCCGATGGGGCCCCAGCCTGCTCCGATGCCGCTGGATCGGAAATGCTGGGGCCCAGCGCTGCTAGGGCCCAACCTCCTCCTCGCCTGTCACCGTCGGCCAATACTCATGTAATGGTCACGTACGGGCCCCTCAGGCTGCCTGGGCCCCTTACATGAGTGTCGGCCGTACCTCCCTGATGGCGGCCCTGTGGACACCTGACCATTGTACCTGTATGAGGTTGTTGGACATCCCACGTCTGTTATGTGGTTATAATAGCCTCCGCTCTTCTGGGGAGACTTTTTTATTGTGTCTGTAGGATCAGGATCTGATGTTGGGTGAGAATATCTGGCTTACAATCAGTGTTACAAAAGTTGTGCAGTAGTATTGAGATTGAGGCCAGGGTTCTGTGCAAGCCACTCGAGTTCCTTTACACCAAATCCATCAAACCATGTCTTTGTTGCGCTGGCTTTGTGGCACAGTCATGCTGGAGGGCCATCTCCAAACTGTTACCACAAAGTTGGAAGTGCACAATTGTCTAAAATGTTTTTGGAAGCTGTAGTAGTAGCATTACTCTTCACTAGAAACACCTGAACTCAGTAATTTGGAGGGGTGTCCTCCATGATTTCCATTTGTTCCTGTTTGCCAAGGACAACCCCTGTTTTGAGGGGTCCCAGCAAACAAGTGTCCCCAGCAAATTCCGAGGTGAGAAAGTCCAATGGTCCAATTTGCACTGCACAGGCAGCACAGGCACAGGTGCCCAATTTGACACTGCTGGACTCTCTAGCCACCTGAGCATGTGCGGTAATCATTGGGCGGTGGGGTTAGCTTTCCTTTTCTGGCTTGTAACATAAAAAAACCAGACAAGGAAAGTTGATCTGCTGCATCACTATTGCTGATCATGAGCAATTGGTTAGAGTCCAGCAACACCATCTTGGGGTGGCTGCAGCACCTGCGCAGTGCAGGTCAGACTACCAGACTTCCCCGTCTGGGATTTTACCGCTTTTTTGCCGGGACTGGGTGACACTGTTCAAGATCTTAGTGCTTGTACTATGATGTAAGTTGACTAAGAACATGGAGATCAGTGTGTGCTGGGAAAGAGTCATCTGAATAATTACATCCTGCCACTTCTTCAGATTAGTGTGAGCACACATGTGGTTGTTTTTAGTTACAGTCCTCCTACCTGGCTCTCAAAAAACAATCAATTTATAGCTTTTCAGTATTCTTTGTTTAGGTGAAAAAGTGAAGACCATCATCTTCACATTTCTAATCTTGCAGTTAAAAAAAAGGAACATTTATTGTCAATAGTGTGTAAAGCTGCCACAGTCTCAAAGTTGGCAGCCAAGGGTAGCAAATGTTTCATGGGTGGCAAGCTCTACGCTTTGTACTAAACAAATAAATACTAAATACACTACTTTTTTTAGCATTAATTACTAGGTCTGCGGAAATTAACGATTAATTTCTCGATTAATCGTAAAAAATTTTGATCGATTAAAATTTTTTTCAGCGCTAATGAAAATACTCACCTCTCCGCCCTCTTCCGGGAGTCCCGTCAGAGATCCGGTGACGTCACGGACATCAACGTCACCGGACTCCTCCCCTCTTCACCAAATGGCTCCGTCGGCTAACGAAGGGCAGGGGGAGGAGTACAGTGACGTTGATGTCCCCAAGTGGCTCCGTCGGCTAACGAAGGGAAGGGGGGAGGAGTCCGGTGGCATCGATGTCCGTGACGCCACCGGACTCCTCCTCCCTTCGTTAGCCGACGGAGCCACTTGGGCCGGTGACTTTGCCCAAGAAACATGTTCTGCCCTATCAATTTTTAAATAGGTTATACTTACATGTAAAGGGAACATCACTGTGCAGCCTGCCAATTGACATCGAACCTTTCTTCTACAATCTTCCCAGCTGGTCAGTGTGCCCACAAGTGTGGACCAAACTCCAAGGCATTGGCCTATACACATACAGTACAGCACAGCAATGAAGTAATAAAATGAACTAGGACCACACTAATCCAGCACGTTATTATTCTGAGTTGCCCCACTCAAGCGACGGCCATATTGAGTGGGGCACGTGAGATTAATAACGTGCTGGATTAGTGTGATCCTAGTTCATTTTATTACTTCATTGCTGTGCTGTATGTGTATAGGCCAATGTAGTTGGATCTGTATGTGCGTTATAATTAATCGAAATTAATCGATTAAATTTTTTTTGATTAATCGAACACGAAAAGTTTAATCAGTAACAGCCCTATTAATTACTATTGAAATCTGCAATATGTGCCTTACTTACTTCTAACCACTGATATCGTTGCATTACGTACTATTGACCCCTACACTTGTTTTATTTTTTACCTTTACTCCTTTCAGCCCCTCAAATTCTACCACAGCTTTGGCCACACCTGCTGTTCACCATAGCATGCTAACCATGCTGCATAATTTTCTCTGTTCATGGTGCCCAAGAAATGTTGTCTTTATTCTTTGAATGTCTGTCTCTTGTTCCAGAAGTCTGTGACCAATTGTTTCAGGGCATGTTAAAAATAAGGGTGTGATTTTGTGGGTGTTGCTACAAATGGGGGGTTGATTTTATGGGGGTGGCTACAAATGGGGGCGTGATTTTGTGGGTGTGGTTAAAAGTGGGCGTACTAATTAGTGTTTCTCCAGATTTTAAAAAAGGGGTGAAGCTCTGCTGACTTCCATCTCCCAATTATGTGCAAGCAAAAATACTTTTTTTTTTTAAATGTCCTTGCAGATGATTGGATATTCTTTGCAAAGTAAAATGTCACCTTATTCAACAAGTTAAGGGAAAGTTACACTGCAAAGTAAAAATTCCTTGCAAAGTGAATAGTCTACTTGCCTTTGAAAGAGTCTAGATTTACTAGACACCTTTATCTGCATGAGGCCCTGCGTTATTTCCAGTATATTTACATTTTTATTTATTCGCATGATGTAGTATTGCTGTTTTGCTGGAAAGTCAGGATCCTTCCTCTCTGCTGTTAAAGCCTTGTAACTCTGCATACATAAGACCCAGCAAACAGTGGCAGGGATCAACCCCTCATCCTACCATTATTGTCCCACAACAAAAACGTGCAGGGCCCGCATTGAGCTCACATAATTCTGCATCATGCCATACAAATCAGCCCTTCCATTGCTCAGGACATTGGAATGCTGACTGAATCCAACACTAAATGGAGCTAACAAGGCAGAAGAAAATGCTAAAAACAGATTTGAGCCTCGGCCCCGATGAAAACAGAGAGCCTGGGAGCTGAAACATGTAAATCTACTGATTCACACTATTGTCATCTTCCAATCTTAGGATCTGGCTGGCAAATGTAGGCCATTCAGGTAAACAGGTTACTTTAGGCTGAATGGTTTTTGGCCTTTGAGCAATTTTTGGGGTTGTCCATTACCTAAATACATTGTGCTGGAAGGTGTCCCTCTTTCTCATCTCAAAAAGTTGGGAGGTATGACTGAGCATTCCTGTAATATCAACCAGGGATAAAATGGTACAGGGGAAGTTTCTACAATGGACCTATATAAGTACAGCCAACATACCTAAAATCCATAATACAAGAATATGTCTAAAATGTAATAAAGAATAGGCTCCTTTATACATATGTTTCGACTGTATGTAAAGATTATATGTTTATGTTTTATAAATTAAATTATATGTTTTTAGAGAGCAGTAATAAACATTATCAATTTTGGGAACCTCTCCTTTTCCATTCCAGAGGCTATTGTTACTTACAAAGTAGGATGCATTGACACTTTCAATATGTTAATACCAATGCATAGATTGACCTAAGTCGGAACTGTCCACGCAAAGAAAATCTAGTCACTACGATATAAAATAAATACATACATTTATTTACCCGGCTACATTTCTAAATTCATAGTACAACGTTGTATGATAATGAGACTACCCCTCAGTGAGTGCTCGGTTAACTCCACATTCACTTCTATATCAGTGAACAAAGGCACACATTTTGACAAACAGGAGATAGGAGAATGGAGGAAGGGGGTGGGAGGGGGGGATTATTTGTTTTTATTTTATTTTCTCTTGTTCCCAGGAAAAAGTTGTCTGAGAGGGACAGGGATGGGTTGGAAAAGTAAAATCTAATTGCATTGTTATTATTGTTTGTTGAATCTACTCTGAGGTCATTAAATAACAAAAAACAAAACTAAAAAGAAGCACTCCCTGCAGAAAAAGAATTAATAATTATCCAACCACCCGGTTTGTGGAACTTCACTGCCTTGAAAAGATTACCTGCTGATGAATCTTTAGCATCCGACACTTCCAGGAGTTTCAGATGCCCACATTCCATTATGCTCTGTGTATCCTTTCTGTAGTGATGTAGGGGCCTACAGATGAAACCACAGAGTGGTGTCCTGGGTGGCGGGACAGGCAAGCATGAATTCTTTTCCTTGCATGGTCATAGCTATGGGAGCTGTAGAAGCAAAAGTGGGACATGATTCTGGAATTGGGGGCTGTAAGAGGCAGAAAGGGACTTGATTATGGAACTGATTGCTATAGGAGGCAGAGAGAGAGCTGGTCCTGGAACTGGGGGCTGTAGGAGGCCAAGAGGTAGCTGATCCCAAAACTGGGGCTTGTAAGTTGCAAAAAGGGAGCTGGCCATTGAACTGGAGGCTGTAGGAAGCAGAGAGGCAGCTGGCCATTGAAATGGAGGCTGTAAGAAGCAGATAGGGAGCAGTTTATGGAGTGTGGGGCTTTAAGATTACGAGACTGGGCGCTATAGGAGGCAGAGACAAAGAACTGATCCCAGAACTGGGGGCTGTAGAAGGCTAATCACAAAATAGTAGGAGGGAAAAGGGTAGCTGAGCATGGAACTGGGGGCTTTAGGAAGCAGAGACGGAACTGGCCAAGAAACTGGGAAGCAGAAAGCAACATGATTACAGATTATTGACAGAAGAAGCAGGGAGGGAGCCGATCGTGGACTATGGGGAAAGAAAGAGGAGGCCGAATGGCAACTGAACTTAGACTTGGACTTTTGGTTGAATAGGTAAAGTGGCTCTGAGCATGATTGTGGGCAGAATAGAAAACAAATGTGGCTGGGGTGGAAAGAAGTAGAGTAGCAGCTTATTATAGTTGGAGTCAGAGTAAAAGATAACTGTAGCATGTGTGTGTGTGTGTAGAGCAAAAAATTATTGTAGACAAGGAAGAAAGGGGACCTGATGAAGGCTTCTTATTGCTGAGGGGTGACGGTGAGAAAGGAGTGGCACCAGAGATTGAGATGGAGGGCATTGTGCACAGGTACAGACATGACTGCAGACAGTAAGAAGAGACCTTCAAGACCAGCTTCTGCAGACATAGGGGAGAGCTGAAGACAGAATGTGTTAACATTTTTAGGTGTGAATTTATTTCTTATTTTTTTTTAAATGCATGAATTACAGAGCATAAAAGTGAAACATTGTTAAATTCAGCACACAACTATTAAAATGATGTACCATTCATCAACAGCCAGAGTGACAGCCACCAAAAGAGATACCTTTGTGGAAAAAGAGAGTCATTCTAAAAATGGATGTCGTATATTCTACATGATGTCCTTGTTTTGAGGAAAACAAAGCATTGTAACAATAGATGTAGTTTATCACATCGTCACACACAATTATATCATCAAAAAAAACCATGGTGCTAAATTAAATATTTTTCTTTCCTTTCTATTAAGGGGTGGAAATCCCATGATAGTAAGGTATTAGTCTGGACATCCTGTTATGGAAAGTGAATATGAATCACATCATACAAACTGAATACTCACCTGGAGTTTCTGTGCACCGGTGCACAGAAGGGATGTCCTAGAGCTGGAGGGAGTCCAGCGGAGGGCAACCAAACTCATCAAAGGGATGGAGGACAAGAGCTATGAGAACAGGCTACTAAATTTAAATATTTTCATGCTGGAAGTAAGGAGATTAAGGGGGGACATGATTTTCATGTACAAAATGTTCCATAGTCATAGCGACATTAGCAACAAACTTTTTAAGATGAATTCCGTAACAAAGACTAGAGGCCACCACCTAAAACTGGTAGAAAAAAAATTCAAACACAAGGGCGAAGGGGGTTCTTCTCAGTTCGAGCGGTTAGTGTCTGGAACTCGTTGCCACAAGCAGTGATTTCAGCTAATAGTGTGGAATCGTTCAAGAAGCTTTTGGACGATTTCCTGAGAGACGGTAATATACAGGGGTACAGGTACTCTTAAGAATGAGATGCCTCAAGGACCTATACACACACACACAGAATAGGTTGGACTTGATGGACATATGTCTTTATTCAACCTCAAATACTATGTAACTATTTAATTGTATTTTTTAGATCAGGCACTAAAAGCCCAATTTGAGATTTCTAAAGAATTGTGAATTTTAGTGATAGTTCCTCTTAAAACTAGCCTGCAATAACTTCTGGTTACCCCTAGTGCACAAGTAATCCGTTGTTATATATTAAGTTTAATTTCTAAAATAAGAATTTTATATATTAAAATAAATGACATAAAATTAATACACTTAAAAAAAGATGACTGACTAACACTAGCATAGTTTCCCTTTAAAACAACCACTTAGATTCTATAGTAATATTAAAACCACTGCTATTAGCATGAAATACTATATTCCTACATATTGTAATGATGTGAACCCCTCGCCATCTTTTGGCACCTGTTATTAAAGTTTTTTTTTTTAAAGTAGGTCAGGCACTGGTAGATTTTCTCGTAGAAATAAAATCTCTTTGACACATTTAATAATGTCCGCAGACATTTTACGAAAACCACATTCGAGTTATATATTAAGTTTAATTTCTAAAATAAGATTTTTATATATTAAAATAAATGACATAAAATTAATACACTTAAAAAAAGATGACTGACTAACACTAGCATAGTTTCCCTTTAAAACAACCACTTAGATTCTATAGTAATATTAAAACCACTGCTATTAGCATGAAATACTATATTCCTACATATTGTAATGATGTGAACCCCTCGCCATCTTTTGGCACCTGTTATTAAAGTTTTTTTTTTTAAAGTAGGTCAGGCACTGGTAGATTTTCTCGTAGAAATAAAATCTCTTTGACACATTTAATAATGTCCGCAGACATTTTACGAAAACCACATTCGCTGGTATAATTTCGTTTGATCGAGGAACATTTTCCAACATGCACATTCGACTCTTTTCATCACTGCGGTCAAAATTGATCATTTATTTGACCCCATCAGCTTTTAGAAAGTTGAACGGACGTTCCGAAATTGATTTTGTTTGTACAAAATTTCTAACTGTGTATACCCTACTTACATACCCTACCAGGGGGAGGTTCCTCCATCCACACAGTTTAGCGTAGATGGAGGAATCTGTTGCACTTTTTCCATCTGACCATAGAAAATCTGCAGATAATCTATAGGTATATGGCCAGCTTTAGACAGTTGTCACTATAAAATGTGTCCCCACTGGATGATTTCCCCTCACCTTTTGCTCTCATGACACCTCTAAATTATAGGATTTCCTCTTACTTGCAGTAACAGTGGTCATGAGGACCAGGACAAATAGAGAGGGGTGAATCCCCCTAGCAGCAACAGCCTGCAATACTATTTGGCACAAAGTCTAACCTTTCCCTAATCGAAAACTTAACAATAAAAAGTTTGGATTTACATATACTTTAACTTCCAAAGCAGGAACCAGTTGCAGTTCAGAATGCATTTTATATATTTATATTTGTTGCATTAAACAAACGCTGTCCAATTAACATGGTGTTGCTCACTTTCAGGTATATGGAGGCCATGACTTGTCCTCCCCAAGGCTAGCTCAACTCTGTGCACCTCGAACTCCAGAAAATCCCCTGCAAGTGTCTAGCACAGGGAATATGGTCACTGTCCGGTTTAAGACTGACACTAGTAGAAACGGCAAAGGTTTTAACGCAACATGGCATGAAGTTCCTGGAGGTATGTAAAGTTATCAGTTATCAGTCAGCACAAAAGGACCAGACTTCTATTAGAAATGACAATGAGTTTCGTTTATCAGGGAATCTGAGTCTGTATTACACATGGCAGTTAAACTGGCCATACATGACTTTAATTTCAGCCGTAATCAACCAAAATTTAGCCAAGTGGTTGGAGAATTATCAGTTAAACAGTGACTGCATCCTATCAGATGGAGATGCAGTAAGAAAAGACAAAGGTTCTGGCTTTAGATACACTTTTAAGGAATATGCCACACAAGAACATTGCTTTAGCATATAGAAAAGCAGCACAAATCATTTTGTAGTTTCGTGTTATTAAAAATGACCTTATTCTTACAACTTTGTCCTCTGGTCGACATTCTCTAAGCAAATGCTCCCAGAAAACTAATTTCTTGTATAGCTCATTGCTATTCCAAGCAGTCTGCACAAGGCTTGAGGTACAATTTCAGAATTTGCCTACAATAGGAGTTTCATAGTCCTCAGACTAAAAGAATTACAGGCCTGTTCCTTTTTTTAAATTACAATATAGAGACTGCTCAGGTGGATATTATGAGGACAGACCTCCTACTTAGCAGTCATTTTGAGAAGGGGTAGCTGAAAGACTGCATTAGAACAGGGAATTCGAGAATCTAATAGAATGTTTGCTTAAGTCATTGCAATGTATACCATTTACCTGGAGGGGATTGTTTTTCCACCAAACTGGGGCTTCCCTTTAAGACCCCATTCACACTGAACATTTTGTAGCGCGTTTTCCACTCAAAAGTCACTAAAATATGAAGCTCAATGTAGCTCTTCCAATGCATTTCAATAGAGATGTTCACATCTTGCAGCTCAATGTCGCCTGTAGCTTGTAGCTCAAGCTTGTCACCTAAACATGAGCTATTTTTTGGTGGATTTTACGTGATTTTGCCCCCCATAGACTTCAGCAGCTACAAAGTCCCTGTGATAAACTGCCAAAAGAAGTGCTACGTAGAGCGACAAAGTGTGCACTGTAGCGCAATGTAGCTCAATGTCATTAGCTCAAATCAGCGCTTATTTTGTTGTAGCTCAGGGAAATGGGGTCCAATGCGGCTTTGATTATTGTATTCTTTTTAATTAAATATCTGAGAAATAGTAAAACATAAACATAAATGGTTGTAATCAATATTGTGATCTCTGCCAAATGCATCTAGAATCAGTATGTTGTGCCTTATGGAGCTTTTTTGGGTTTAGCAGAGAAACTATCTTAATTATTTGCAGGCTGTGGTGGAGTAGTCCAAGGCCCTAATGGGGAGATCCATTCTCCGAACTACCCGAGACCCTATGAGGACCACACAGAATGTTCCTGGCTGATTAAAGTTGAGGCTGGACACAGAGTCTTACTCAACTTTACAGACTTTGACATAGAAAGTCATCCCTCATGTGAACTTGACAATGTCACGGTAAGTTTACTGAAATAAGTCTTGCATTTTCATTTTCTGTGTACTTTTCTACTCTCTAGCATTCTGACATTATGTTTTGATACTAAAAATTTGTATTTATTAGCACTAAAATATACTTTGCTCTGACCTATAAAAATGTTTCATAACGCAAAATGTAACCACTAGTTAAAACAGAACTCCAGGTAAAAATCTTATTAAATCTTGCAGTGGGGCTACCCCAGCAGGGTAAGAGTTAGGAGCTTGTTTTCCCCGAGGGTCAAAAATAAAAAAAAAGTTATACTCACCTAAACCTCGAAACCTGTGACAGCGCTTCTTCCAGCCTGTCTACTCCTCCACTGCAGTGATGGTAAATTTTTACACAGAGCTGTTCTTTAAAAAAACTACCCACCTCTATCTGAACCCAAGAAAAAAAGTTATATATTGAAGTTTACCAGTGGTATCTGCATTTGCTGTTATTTATCAGGCTTTAATACTCCCCCCAGTGCCAGAGGTCAGAGATTGTGGATAATGAGTGTGGCTTCACCTATAGTAGCCCCTTAAAGTGACACTAAACTCAGGGGTTAAATCTTAAAAATACATTCCAGTACCTTAACTATTAACAACAATGTACCTTATTTGTGTATCACTCGGCTGTAGATCCAAGCTCACTCCCGTCATGAACTATAATCTCAATAGAAATTAGTAAACTAAATGTGAATTTGTAGTCCATCACAGGAGCAAGCTTGCAATGGTGACTACTTTACAACACACACAGGGACCATGGAGAACGCAAGTAGCCACCCTCCAGAAGGAAGGACAGTGTCAGCACCAATTCACAGATGATTTGAGGATCCACAGCCGAGTGATACACAAATAAGAAATAGTTTTGTTATTAGTTAAGGTATTTGAATGAGTTTTTAAGATTTAACTCATGAGTTTAGTGTCACTTTAGGGCAAACTGTTCTACCGGTACTTGATTTTCCCCAATGCTTTAGGCTTTGGGCAAGTGGTACAAGGGACTGAGTGAGAATTTTTAAAAAAGTACCCGTGGTCTTAAGGAGAATCAAGCAAGGACTGTTGTGCAGTAGTAGCATAGTTGGTAGTGGTCTGGTGGCAAAGGATGAATGTAATCTAGAAATGAGCCAAAGGTCAGGACAGGCAGCAGCCAATAAGTGTAATTCAGAGACCAGCTGAAGACACATGCAGGGACTGGCAGTGCAGCAGCATACATGACGCTCTTAACATGGGCTAAGAACATTTGCAGCAAGTACACAAAATACCTGTTGGTCTCTCTAGAACTACAGAGTCCTAACTCTCTGTGAAATGAACTGAAATCACAGACATTATATTCCTTCTAAACCAGTGGTTCTCAACTCATGGGTCGCGACCCAAAAGTGGGTCGCGAGCCCTTACTTCTGTAAACTACACATCCCCTCCTTAAAAAGAGGGAGGCATGTCAAGAGTGCAGCCTAGGGTGAAAACCATGGCTCCCTCCATAGATACAGTACAGTGTGTTGTCACACTAAGACAGGAAGAGTGTTATTTGCAGGACTGCCAGGTGAAATTAAAAGGGAAAGAATCCTGACAAGGGAACCTAATGCAGCTACCAAATCTAAGGACTGGTAAGCTCTAAAATACAGTATATACATTTAGATATGGTATAAGCAAAACTCTGCTATGCACAATGTCAGGCGTTTACTGCAGTTTGTGCCTTTATTGAGGAGATCTCACTTCCTGTCTCTCAGATATAAGAGGAAGCGAGTAGAAGTCTGCCCAAAGTGAAACCCCATCTTTGACCTCTAGCTAAATAAACTCCCTATGACAAGTAAAGCAGTAAACATACAAGTATTGCAACCATATAATAGCTGTTGGCTGGAGCTCCACTTTAAGACTTTGACCATTTTGGCTGGTACTTCACCAAGAACATACAGTCCTTTCCAGCTAACCAGTTGAATAATGAAGAGCAATGGGTGGCATGGAGCAGAGAACTGACATTCTCTGACCTGCCTTGTCAAACACGCAAATCTGTAAACAATATTGAGTGTTTTCCTCTGCTTGTGTTCAAATTAGGAGGCATGGATAATAAAGACATGCCAAAACGAAATTTCATTAATCACCAAATCTTTGATATAAGACACCATTAAAAAGGTTTGGACAATGGCTCTTTTGAAGAGTCCCAGTCACTCAGCGGCTGGAATACACGCAGAGAGAATAGAGAATGTGCTGTGGCTTGTCAGAACTCAATATAGTATTGTCTTACATAAGAAGAGGCATATTATTATGTGCGGGTCACAAAGAATGCACTATGCTGTGTCCAGTATGTCAAAAATTTTACCCATAGAGGTCACTTCCTCTGCTAGAAGTATATGTGTGTCAGGAACATGGACTTTTCAGTGTGGGCCACAAACCAACCATAAATAACCAAAACAGTAATTGACTGCCCTAAGAATGTAAGAACACTGATGCAAGATGATTCCAGGATCCCATGACATATTATTATTGATAACACTGTACGAAAGAATGTCTTACATAGTAGAACATGAAAGCTTCATCTAATGTATAAATGTATCATGATGATACTGGAATCTGTGATCAAGAGCCAACTAGGCTCTCAAGCATACAATCCGCCTCAGCCCATTATACTTTCCCCACCATGCTTCACGGTTGGGATGAGTAGTGGGTTAAAAAGAGGACAAATGTGACACATTATGAGATCAATACATGAAGCCTCTCATTCTTATTGTGAAGGTACCTTTATATATTAGATCTCAGCCTTCAAGGCAATCTAATGTCTTTAGGATACCTGCAGACACCACTGGTGGAGGCTTCTGAGGGAACTAGAAAACACACAAAAAGAAATACATACATTAGAAATCCTTGTCCAATTTGTTATAATGGGGTCCCTTTTAAGGGGGCTAAAAGGTGCACAACTGTGGCAGAATTGTGGAAGCAATGATCTCTAGTAGTTTCTTGTAACATACCCCTAGTCTCTGACTGTCTTACAGCATGCCCCCTGTCTCCAACCACGCTTGTAGCATGTCGGCGGTCCTTGACCATCTCTGCTGAAAATAGCTGCCACTTTTGAAATTGAGGATCCTTGTTCTAGTGTGTCAGCTTTGTGAATTGAACCTGACAAGGTGTCTGCAATTCAACAGTATTGTTATATAAGGATGACCGATTCACACCTATGCATTTTTGGCTGTTGTGTAGGCATTCATTGTGCTGCCTGTTGATGTGCATATTAATGTGCATTGATGCATTCAATGGAAAACACATCCAGTATGAAGGCATAAATGTGCCATTGAGGCACTTTTTAGGCCAGGTCAGGTTTACTTTAATTCTTGATTGCTTTTATATACGGTAAATACTGTATATCACAGGCTAGGTAGAATAACTAGTCAAACAATAGTTTTCTCTTTGTGCCAGTACCTCCATATGCTCTCTGTGTACTCCTGGAATTATAAGGCAGGCAACATCAAAAGCTAAAATTATAGAAATTATGTGTTTTAATAAAATCATATATTCATCCTATGATGACAGCTTTTAGCTCCGTTCCTGTGTTAGGGAACTGCTAGTTTTCTCATCTTTATCTTATCTCTGTGGATATGGCTGTCATATTTTAACAATGTATTCCAGATGGATATAGATAATATATATAGTCAGGGAAATCTGTGTGTGTGTTCCGCTTCCTTTATTGTGGGAGATGTCCATCCCCTTTCTTATCTATGTTTGTTTTAACGGCTCCGCAATTTCCTGCGGGACATTCTCCCCATCTAAATCCCTTTATGACTAATAGATCATATGGCTACCATACACTAACAAACACATAACCAACATAATACAACTTGTACTTGTCTGGTTTGTTATCAATTTACACGATTGTAGCATTTGTGTTTCCTTTTTGTTTATTATTGTGTAGTTCTAACATAATAATATCAGTGTAGAAAGATTTCTAGATACAGTGCCTCTCTTAGGGCTTGTTCACACCAAATGTGGATCAGATGTGCATGAGTTTTTTGCTGCGTTTTTGATGTGTTCCGGGCCATCTTTTTTTTTTTAAGCCTAAAATGGGCTTTCGGTGCATTCCATTTTGCATGCATTTTTGATGCGTTTGCATGTGTTTTGATGCATTCCAGAGCAGAAAAAAAATAGGGCATGCTGCAGTTTTTCCATATGCTCTGGAACGGAACACTGTGGTGTGAACTAGAGCCCAAAATACCATTGGTATACATTGGACACAGGTTTTGATACGTTCTCTAAAAAAGATGGCAACCGCATGAATCTATAACCAGCCTTTATAGTAGGGTGCACATGGGAAGGCTTACAACAATACTGCTCTGCACCTGCTCTGCGCTTGATGTGAACTAGCCCTAAATTGTTTATGCATGTACTATATGTATCTCTCTATTTTACATGAAAGAATTCTCAACTTGTCTGTGTCCCAGGTGCAGGCAACAAGAGCGTCCACTTCAAGCAATAAAACTTTAAAAATGCCGCACGCCACAATATCTTTAGATAGATAGATAGATAGATAGATAGATAGATAGATAGATAGATAGACCACGTTGAACAATTGCAGCACATAATTGCATGTGATCTTTGCTGGTCCTATGTGCTATTCACAAGGAAATAAATCACCATTTAGTCACAAGTTTTAGTGGAAGTGGCAGCAGAAGTTATCACTGATCAGAGTGATTGCTTAACAAAGTAAACTTGTAGATCATGAGAATAGTAGGGCTGAAATGTTTTTTTTTGTTGCTCAGAGATAATAACAACATATGAAGATATCTGAGATACCTCCAACGTTATACACCATCTGTAGACAATTGTGTATAACTATGTGCAGTAGTGTCACCCTCCATTACCGTTTGGTGATAAAACACTGACCTGGATCCAGAACAGACAGGTTTTATCACCAACTCTTACTTTAAGTTACCAAGAAAATATGAGACATGGTTTTAACTTATAGACGTCAAAACATCTTGTACATTGTAGATCACCACTGATGTCTTCCTTGACTGACCCCTCTTGTAACCCAACCATCCTTTTGTGTAAAAGTTGTTCTTTGTACAACTATGTTATGTCTCAGAATAAAACAAATTTTGAAAAAAGCTTACATAGGTTCTCTCTCTTTCTTTCTCTCTCTCTACCTCTCTCTCTCCCCATCTCTCTCTCAATATTTTTTAAAATCTTTTTGGCTGGTAGGTGTATGATGGTGAATCCGCTGATTGTGATGGTGAATCAATCTCAATATCTCTCTCTCTCCTCTCTTTTTCTACAAATGTATGTATGACTGTCTATCTATCTATCTATCTATCTATCTATCTATCTATCTATCTATCTATCTATCTATCTATCTATCTATCTATCTATCTATCTCCCTGATTGTCTTATTCTCTCTCATTATTTTATTTCTCTTTTTTATCTGGTAGGTGTATGATGGTGAATCCGGTGATGCGGCGATTCTTGCAGTACAGTGCGGTACTCAAATTCCTAGTCCGATTGCCTCTTCTCAGAACACCATGTTTGTCCGCCTGCGTTCTGACCATAGCAACCAGCACAGAGGATTCAGTGCACGATTCAGTGAAGGCGAGTTTCTTTCTTTTATATACTGAGCATCTTTATGGCTTCTTACTACTGACAGTTAATCAGCCTCATTTAAAGTGTACCTGTCATGTGGAATGTTGAAGTGAGGTCCTCATGAGTAAATGTTGCACTGCAATGTATGCTTATGGTGGCAGACACTTTCCTTCAAAAACAAGTGAGGTTGATGTACTAAAAGATGTACTAAAATGTGTAGAGAATGTTTGATTAGCCAAATGACTATGGTGGGGCTCTGTTTTGCTTGCACATGATTGAATGAATTAAGTGAACGCAGCTTCATGTAATTAAAGCTGAACTATGGGATCAGCAAATATTGTCTAAATACAAGAGGCATGCATATTCCTACTTCCTATTTCCTCCAGATCTGTGCAGTAATCCAGTGTGAAACTTTACCTCTGTGCAGGAACTTCCTGTAATACAGACCAGACACTGCTGCTCTCTCTTCTTGAGATCCCTGATTGTCTTATTCTTTCTCATTATTTTATTTCTCTTTTTTATCTGGTAGGTGTATGATGGTGAATCCGGTGATGCGGCGATTCTTGCAGTACAGTGCGGTACTCAAATTCCTAGTCCGATTGCCTCTTCTCAGAACACCATGTTTGTCCGCCTGCGTTCTGACCATAGCAACCAGCACAGAGGATTCAGTGCACGATTCAGTGAAGGCGAGTTTCTTTCTTTTATATACTGAGCATCTTTATGGCTTCTTACTACTGACAGTTAATCAGCCTCATTTAAAGTGTACCTGTCATGTGGAATGTTGAAGTGAGGTCCTCATGAGTAAATGTTGCACTGCAATGTATGCTTATGGTGGCAGACACTTTCCTTCAAAAACAAGTGAGGTTGATGTACTAAAAGATGTACTAAAATGTGTAGAGAATGTTTGATTAGCCAAATGACTATGGTGGGGCTCTGTTTTGCTTGCACATGATTGAATGAATTAAGTGAACGCAGCTTCATGTAATTAAAGCTGAACTATGGGATCAGCAAATATTGTCTAAATACAAGAGGCATGCATATTCCTACTTCCTATTTCCTCCAGATCTGTGCAGTAATCCAGTGTGAAACTTTACCTCTGTGCAGGAACTTCCTGTAATACAGACCAGACACTGCTGCTCTCTCTTCTTGAGCAGGATGACTGGTCTTCTCTCTGACCCCTCCTGTAGTTTTCTGCAGGCAGCCTTAGTGGACGGAGGCTACTTGGTCCCTCCCACAGGTCTGCTCTCTGCATAGGCTATGTACAGCACAGGTATGATGTCACCATTTATCTTACATAGTAATATCTAGGGTTGTAAAGGCATTTGATATATACAAAGTAGATTTAAATCCTTTGCTGCTAATGTGTAATGCATTTAAATAAAAAGTTGGTGTGTCTGGATGTCAGTATTAACTAAGATGTGGGAACATTCAAATTGTAAAGTGAAAATCCTCTACTTATTTATTAAGTTTTTCTATCGCTCTTTCTTCCTGCACCATATATTCCTTTGATATTACTTTGATTCTAGCATTTTGTGTCTGCAGCAGTTGACAAATATTCAGAAGCTAAGTCTGGATGCCAGCAAAATTTTTTGAATGTATACGCAGGTCAGACTTGAATATTAAGCACGCAAATGCAGAAAAAGGAAGACAACCTACTGACTCAGGGCTTGTCAGTAACATGGTGTTCTGGGAACACCTGATACCAAAACTGCAGGCTATAGATTCTAAAATCCGCCCATTAAAGCCTCCTGCAATTTAATTACACACATGCTTGATGATCCAGCAAATAATTGTTATTGTGTTTACTCCACCCCAATGTGATCTATTAAAATCTTAGAAAGGTGGGTTGCAGAGCATACAATAACTGGCAGGAGCCTGTAGTACCACACATAATCTCTGAAAACCTTCTTCTCTATTTATGGAAAATTGAATAGAAATTAGCGGATGAGTGGACTTGTTGGATTATTGGAGCATTTAATTTGCATGTGTAGCTGCTGCTAACTCAGGTATGATAAATATTACTATTGCATTAAAGGTTTCCTTTCACTGAGTTGCACTTGTAGACAGATGACAGGTGCTCTTAAAATGTTGATGAGGTTCCAAAAGATGATGATGCAGGTGGTAGAGTAATATTGTGTATCCCCAGAGATTTGGGGAATATAATTTAACACTTCTTCCATAAAAGGTAAAAATTCTAGTGACGGTTTGGCCTTGATATATTTCCGGATGTTTTTTTTATAGCATTTGGAAGTTCTATTGTGACTGACTCCATCGGCGGAGTTATTTCCTCACCATTATATCCTGCCAACTACCCAAACAATCAGAACTGTACATGGATTATACAAGCCTCGGAACCTTGTAAGTTGTTTGAACAGCGTCACGCATGTAACTAAATCAAGTATACTTTATAAGCTTCCTCTTTTTTCCTTTTAAAGCAAGGCGATCACATGTTAAGGAAGATTACACAGTGGGGGGGATTTATCAAAACTGGAGCAGACAAAATCTGGAGCAGATTTGCACTGCAGCCAATCAGCTTCTCTCTCTCATTTTCAAATCTTACCTGAGCAAACAGAAGAGAGATGCTGATTGGTTGCCCTAGACAACTGATCCAGATTCTGTTTGATAAATCCCCCCAGTGTGTTTTGTACCTACTACTACAGCTCTGCAGAAAGTTGCATAGACTGCATTATTTAAGATGGCTTTGTCTAGTGAGAAGTAAATATGTTCATTGGTAATCTTTACAGATCCCTAGGTCATGCAATCCAGTACCACTTTGGTGCGTGATCCAATAAAAAAAATAATTTCCCAGTTCACCACAGCTTTCCATATACACTCTTTGACATTCAATCAGACATTCAATTTATCAGTTAAGATTGATTATTATTATCATTATTATTATACAGGATCTATATTGCGCACCACTTTACAATATAAAGAGAGGCAGTACAGTTACAATAAAATTCAGTACAAGAGGATTAGGAGGGCCTTGCTGATCAGAGCTTACAATCTAATTCGAGATGCAAGTAATACAAAAGACATTAATAGTGATGGATGAGTTGATGGAAAAGGTAAAAGCTCAGTTGTTATAGAAGAACCAGGGTAGGCTTCCCTTAATGGAAGAGTTTTCAGGGATCACCTAATGACAGAGCATGTTCGTTTTCGGAAATTTGTATGCATCCGAATGTCCAAATTTAATTACATTTATATAAATATCAATTTTGAACTAAAGGCTAGAGTTAGGGAGACCCAGAGGATTAGACGGGCTCTGGAGAAGTCCTGAAGGCAAGCATTGGAGGAGGTGATGAGGGAGCTAGAGAGGAGGAGGTCTTGGGAGGAGTGAAGAGGACAGTTTGGGTGATATTTTGAGATGAGGTTGGTGATGGAGCTGGGGGCAGAGTTATAGATGGCTATGTATGTTGTTTTGTTAGTATATTAAATATTGTTTTATCATTTGCCTCTGGGCAAATGAAAGTCAATAACGGGATTGGCAGATAGGACATCTGACACTGGGCAATTGGTGAGGTGAGTCTAACAGCAGCATTCAGGATGGACTGAAGGGGTGATAGTCTATGTATAGGTAGGCCAGTGAGGAGGGAGTTGTAATACTCCAAGAGAAAGATAACAAAGAAGAGAAATAGCATCTTGGTGGTGTCATTGGTTAAATAGGGACACATTTTGGAGATGTTTCAAAGGTGAAGGTGGCAATATTTGGTCAGTTATTGGACGTGGGGCTGAAAGGAGAGAGGTCAAACTCCAGCATAACACCTAGCACCCTGGACCATGGGCCACGTAAATTAATGACAGTAAAGGAAATTTGGAGCAAGAGTCCTTTAATTAACATTGAGCCAATTTATTAACAGAGCTATGAACGATAGGGTGGGAAACTTGTCGAATCATTTTTGTGAAGGTGCTGTAGCAAACTGTTAAAATGTATCTAAAGCCAATTTTTATAGTCAGATTTGCTATTTACACTCATTAGCTCATTGGCTTTAATCTAAACTTTTGTATTATTTTATCTCACCAGTTAACCATGTCACTCTGTCTTTTACGGACTTTCAAACTGGAAGCACAAGTCCTAATTGTACAGATGACTTTGTAGAGATTTTAGATGGGAACAATTATGGGTCACCATTAAAAGGTATAGTAAGAATTGTTACACTGTTTCATATTATTAGATATTTGTGTATCACAAATGTAATTGGATATAAAGAGAGGAAAAAAATTAAAGCCCAGTTAAAGTCTAAAACCTTTTTATCTCTTCATAGACCTGTCTTCTGCATCTTATAAGTTGTGACTGAATTTTGCTTGCTAATGCTTGAAAATACCCTTCATTCTTAGGCAAACATGAATCCTGCTTTTATATGTCAGTGGCCTGTGATGGTTTAGTTGAGTAACAGCCACACCCCTTAGCACAAGTGTTCCAACACATACTTGTATTGCAGGGGAGGGGACGTGTCTGACCAGGGGTGGAGATGGTCCAGAATTAGCCATATCAAGACCTAGTACATGTTTTTTGAGAAGAGGGTCTACCGTAACAGGCCAGGAGCCCATCATTATCTCTGTTGTCAAAATTCCCTCTTCTGCACAAAGCTACTACAATACAGATTCTGGCTTCGCGGGTCCTCCTTCTACCTTCCACCAGTGCACCCCAGGGTCCCAGTCCACCCCAGGCTATACTACTCATATATTTACCCTACATTATGGAGAATTTAAGGGGTAGTGTGAAATAATTATTGCAATTTGCAATGGCATTTAAGTGCTACTGGTTATATTGTTATAAATATTATATTTCCAGTCTCATCACAGAAAAATAAGCTTTTCTCAAATTGGGTCATACCAAATATGTTGATGAAGGGTTGTATAGAACAAATAATGAAAGACCTGATTTTACAGTATGTGCATTTGACCTTTTCCCTTCTTTTTTGTTTTTTTAAGGACGTCTTTGTGGTCAGGTAATCCCTCACCCGGTTACATCATTCAGCAACGCCCTTGTGATCAAATTTGTCTCTAATAGTTACACAACGTATAGAGGATTTCGTGCTACCTACTCTGCATCAATCTCAGGTTGGAGTCATCATTTATAGTTCTAAATGCCCAATATATGATTTGTAAATTTTAATAATCTTGAATATTGATTATGGAAAAGCACTGGTACCAACTAAAGAAAATCTGACAATATTTCGGAATTCTTAGCTCTGAGCTAATGAGTCAGAATTCCAAGATACTGTATCTCAGGACTAATTGAGTGAGCTTGCAGTAGGTGGGTCATGTTTTTAATTTACAGTGAACAGTGCAAATGTATTTAATTTGCACTGGGGAGATTTTCCCTCACTTTCTGTCCTCGGGACGCAAGGACAAGAAATGAGAGGGTGCGGGACAAGAAGACACAGGCAGCATTACAAACCTAACCAATGTCCCAACCCTTTCCCACTCCACTGAAGAAACATGCCTATGATGCTGTCACTGTTCCCATCAGAGAGATATCCTATCACTTTCTATACGTGTGACACCCTGTTATGAGGAGAGGAAGAAAGGGCTAACTCTCCCCAATGGGAACGCCTACAGTAACTCCGATTTTACAAAATAAGCTGGAGTTGGGCTCTAAAGAGACCCTGTCACCAGACTGTTAATTACAATAAAAAACCTTTCTATAAGATCATATGTGCAATTAATGTAAGCCTTCCATATTATTTAATTATAAAAGGCTCCCTTGTATAGATATCCAAAAGGCTTGAGACTGCAGTTGGTAGCCGCCATCTTGAATATAATGTTAGCAACCCCAGCAGACTCAGAGCTGCCACCCAAGTTACTCTTTGCTGTTCTACTTCACTGCCAGCTGCATAAAAGCAGTCATCTGTAGGGAGGTGAAGGGAGAGGTGAAGGAACTGGTCAGCACAGACAGTAATTAGTCACTCTCAGAAGAGGAGAGGACCATGCAAGAAAGGAGAGGGCTGTGTTAGGGAATTGACTCTTCCTGAAGTCAAAGTTTCTAACAAGTTCAAAGGCACATTGCAAATGAATACAAAATATTTTTTTGGAAAGAATAACACTGCGAGAAAACATTTAACATACTTGATGTTTTTTTTGTGCTTATACCTGCATTGTTATTTAAGCTGGTGACAAGGTCTATTTTTTATTCCATCTATTATAAAAGGAAAGCCTACGTCTGATTGGCTGCTCAGCACCTCTATTTTTCCTTATCTCTAGGGCCTGGCTGTGCCCAGTATGTCTTGTGGTCTAATGATACTTATTCTTTTCTCTTCAGCATGTGGAGGAGAATTACACATGGAGAACGGGGCCTTCAACAGCCCAGCCTATCCAGAAAACTACCCAGAAAATATGGAGTGTGTTTGGAACGCCTTTAGTGCTCCTGGCAACCGGCTCACACTGTCTTTCATGTAATTCCCCCCTCCCGTCTTTCTTCATATTGTTCTCATCTTTGCTGCCTTACAGGAAGGAAGTGCCACATCTGGCAGGAAAAAGTCTTTAACAAATGATTCAACATAAAACACAACTTGGACGGAATACAAAGTATCACAGTGACACTCGTAGGATCTCTCACAGAAAACACAAGATGTGTAGCTATGACATCATATCAATATCTGACACACAGGCCGCTCGCTCAGGCCCCATACTGTGAATTATGCTAAAGTCCAACACATTTATCAAATCACCTTAAATACATAGGGGGGAATTGATCAAAAACTGGAGTAGACAGATTCTGCAGCTGCTGTGCATAGTAACCAATCAGGTTCTACCTTTTGTTTGCTCACTTAGGCTTTGAAAATGAAAGAGAGAAGCTGATTGGTTGGAAGTAACAAATGAAGAATTAAAATTATTCTATTTGATAGAAAGCAACACAGACAGATCTTATGACAGGGAATAGGGGGTCTAGTCACGAAGCTACCAAAGCATTCAACCATAGCTTCGGCCGATCCTTCGGCTAGCTTCGGCCCCAGGACCCCTTCGGTTCAGTAGAACCGAGGGGGTGCTGTACGGGCTTTTCACCATAGCACTTACAGCTCCCGAACATGGCCGAGCGGCTCAGTCAAGCCGAACGCATGTATTTTTTCTTTTCTTTTTTTTATAGAAAAAATAAAATAAAAATATTTTTGGCTATAGGAATGCATTGCTAGATTCCTATTGGCTATTTCAATTTGCAATAGCCAATAGATTTCAGCCGATATACGGCTGAAATCAGCCATACCAGCCTGAAGTGGTCGGTCGGTCATTCACTAGGCTGCCTACGGCAGCTTAGTGAATAGACCCCTATGATACATGGGCAAACACATGTAATTTTTTGATTTTCCCATCCATGCTAAACAGTCTTCCCTGACTGTGATTGTATTCTGACAGCCAGCGCCTGTAGCTGTCAGAATACCCAAACAGTGGATGCAGCTGATTGGCTACGGTCATTGTTCGACTGACAATTTTCAACTCAGCTTTTTTCGATTTTTTCATTCAAAGTTTGTTGAGTCAGGTGGTGCCTGTAGGGCCACCCACCATTAAAATTTTGGCCAAACTGGCCTATAATCTGTGTAATAACACTGTATGGTCAGAGTTAGGCTAGTGCTGCACCCGCGATTAAAGATTTTTGCTACTGAGAGATTAAGTCCTCATTCACACATCTGAATAGGTCCAGACAATGGGTGTGTTTACAGACAGCTGCAGCCAGGAATATGTACAAACCAATGACAGGCTGACCGGAGCCGCAGCTGCCACTGCTACTCACATGTATCTGCACATTTAGCGGGTTACCTGTGGCTAGGAACAGAAGACAGCCGTCCAGGGCCACCATCTATCCCTAGCTGCATGTAACCACTGGATGTGCAGAGATATGTGAACAGCAGCGGCAGACAGCTGCAACTCCTGTTAGTCTGTCATTGATTCCTGGTTGCAGCTGTCTGCATATAGCTGCAGGAATTTGCTGATTTTTGCTGCAGTATTTTCCTGAACAGACCTGTTCAGACATGTGAATGAAACCTTATTATTATCTCATTAGCATCACACTGATTGCAATGTGTTACACACATGGGGATGCCAGGTAGTTAAAGCAGGTTTTTCACTGAAATATAGGGTCCCTTTATGTGGCATTCCCTCAGCCCCTGATTAAAAAAATTATATTTAAAGAGACCCTGTCCTCAGACCATAGGGCTCAACAAAAATCTTCTCATAAGATTATACAGTATGTGTATTTACATATTTTATGTTATTTACCTTCCTTTGTGTAGACATTCAGTAGCCATGAGGCTGCTCTTGGATGTGATGTCAGCATGAAATGTAACCCTGCAAAAAATTTGTCTAGTTTCGGATTGATTCAGATTTCTATTTCTTGCGTTTTTTGGATTAAAAATTCGTTTTGCTTCGTTATTTGGATTTCAGATGCATCTGAATTTTTGTTTTGGAACAATCAGGAAGTCACATGATCATGCCTGTAGTGCAACTCCCAACAGCCGCAAAAAACATCTGTTTGGCCAAAGAACATGTCCAATTTAGTTTTCTTTTGCAAGAAATTTGGACCCATCCGAATTTTTGTTAAACATTCGCATTCGCAGGTGTTCGTTTATGGAAATTCGGATGCATCCGAATGTCCAAATTTAATGAAATTCATATGAATAACCATTTGGAACTAAAGGAGGTTTACATGTCTACCGACAGCTGCATATAAACAGTCATGTATAGAGAGGTGAAGGAAGGGATGGAGGAGATGGGCCAGCACATACATAAATTAGACACTCCCAGAAGGGGAGAGGGCTATGACTTGCACGGAGGGAGGGGGCTTTGCTAGGGAATTCTGAGGAAGTCAAATTTTCTAGCAAGTTCAGAGGCACATACTAGAGTTGTTTTTGATAATACAATCAAAGCTTACTTGAAAAAATCCCTTCATATGTGCACGCCCATGTGAATAAACCCTAAAACAACTATAGTTCCCCTTTGATAGGATCTATGGGAAGTCTTACAATTACCTTTATGCCCTTCCTTGATTTACAGTTCATTCTCCCTACAAGCAAGTGAAAACTGTTCAAAGGATTACTTGGAAATCAGGGAAGGCGATGCCAAAGGCACGCTTATGGGGACATTTTGTGGAGGGAGCTTGCCCAATAACGTGTCTTCTATTGTCGGCCACATACTCTGGTTAAAGTTCGTGTCTGATGGATCGATAAGTGGATCGGGCTTCAGGGTCTCCTTTTCCCACGGTAAGTTAAAAATAACACCTATCACCTTTTTCTTAATTTTTTTGCTGTGTTTTGAGAGCTGTCATCAAAGGTGTAGATCAGTGTAACCTTTGCATTGTTTACATTCAGCTTGTCTGTAGTTTGCACCAAGCAACAATACCATATTGAGCAGGGGTAGCCAAACTGTGGCCTGACGGCTGTGATGAGACTAGAAATTCCATCAAGCATCTGCCTTTTGAAGTCATGCCTGTGACTGCCAGAGTCTTGCAATGTGACTTGTAGTTCCACAATTACATTTTGTTTTTGTTTAGTTATTTTTTTAAACTTTTTTTTTTTTTTTTTACTTATTATCTTCTTCCTTACACTTGTTTCCAGCAGTCCCTCCAGCGCTGGTGCCGGTCTCTGATCCAGTGCTAACTGCTGTGTCTGCTGTGTCCCACAGTGTCTGTCTGACGTGCTCATGGCTGCGTGCATTGACTTACACTGTGTCTCTTCTCTTCTCCCTGCCGAAAATCTCTACTGCGCATGCGCCTGCCCCAGCATCCTGCTCTTATATGTGACATAAAGGGTAGGGCTGTCCCTACCTTATTTACCAGGTGAGGCAGCCAGGAGAAGGGGAAAGCTGGAAAGAGGTGGCGGCTGGCTGAGCTGTCAGCTGGGCAGGAGGCGGCAGGCAGCCGGCCGAGCTATCAGCCAGGTTGGAGGATGAAGCTTTAACAAAGAAACAGCTGTTGACCTGCCAGAAGTGCCCTCAGCCCTTAAGTCCTAATGTGGGCTGACAACACAAAGCATCTGAGTGGACCGAGTGGTGTCAGCACAAGGTGCACAGATCTAAGCGTAGTATAAAAGAAAAATCTTTAATAAGGATAAATCAATGCACCTACATAGTAGATCAAAATAATCCACCTGTCAAACCTGAAGATCCTGTATGTAGCTCACCATGGCCAGCTGTGAAGCTGGATAAAGGAGGAGCCACTTTATTTTTGCTGCTGTAATGTATGTATTTTCTATATATGTATATGTACATATGAATTTATCCATTTTAATGTCGCCAGTGTTTGGGAACAATATAGAAGGCACCTACGGAAAAATTGCATCTCCTCTTTGGCCCAGACAATATCCTCATCATTCCAATTACATCTGGAAAATCAATGTGCAATCAGGTCAAATCATTGAGATTCGAGTTCTGGAAATTGATATTGAAGAATATGTAACCTGCTTCTATGACAGATTACGGGTAAGGGTTAATCTTGCTGTTTATAGCCGTTCCATCAGTTGTTCCCAATTTGTTATAATTCTAATAGATGGCTGTCATGGCTGCCTTGCAGATATACGATGGTCCTGACATCCACTATCACATCATCGGCACATACTGTGGAGTCACTCCGCCACCCTCCCTGTTCTCCTCCGGAAGTTCAGTGACTGTTCAGTTCAAAAGTGACAACAGTATAAGTAGAAAGGGATTTCTGCTGGAGTGGACTGCTGTCTCCCTGTCTCCTGATCCGCTACCCACCATAGCTCCAGGTATTAAATACAATTCATATAATTATAACATGGAATATTTATTGCTTGAGGATTGTTAGGTAACATTTTCAATAACTATTGAAATTGAGATATATAGATGATGTATATCATCAGATGGATAAATATATAGAAAGAGAGGGAGAACAGATAGATAAAAATACCTGAGCCCCATAATGTATGCCATATATGCATGTATATACATATGTAGAGAGATACATTGGCAGATAGATAGATAGTTTGATGGACAAATGATATATAGATAGAAGATGGATAAAGTGGGAGAGGGAGAAATAGGGAGGTAGATAGATACATTGGTATTGGACGTTTGCTGGTCTCTGTCCCTGCAACCTGCCTACACCCGCAATGCCGGTACTGGGCGTGCAGGAGGAGCAGATAGATAGATAGATAGATAGATAGATAGATAGATAGACTTCCAAATCACACCTTTTGATAATAGTTCTCCTTGGCCAGTGTCAGGGACAAGGTTTGGCTTGCAGCTGGTACCCCGCATATTCTCTAGTACTGTGTTAGTATATGACCAATTGATGACATCAGCGATAACAAGAGTCACTATCACACAGTAACATGTCCCTGGCATTGTACTATTGTCCTGTATTGCTCTTTCAGGTGCATGTGGCGGGTTATTAACAACTGGAGACACGCCGTTATTTTTGTTCTCTCCCGGCTGGCCCAATAATTACGCTTCAAGGCAAGAGTGTACCTGGGTGATCAGATCCCCAGAGTCTACAGTAGAACTGAACATCCTGACCCTGGACGTTGAATCACACAGCTCATGCAGTTCTGACAAGCTGGTCATCAGAGACGGTATGGAAGTTCAGAGGGGAGTTACTCCACCACTTCATCCTATAGTAACTTAAGATGCTGAAAAAGGATAAAAAGAGATTTAAATTTATTGATAAAGTAGAGATGATTTTTTTGGTTTTGTGATTCTTTATATGTCATTTTATCAAGATCACAAAAGATAACAGACAAAATAGAAGATAGAAAAACAAAGTTAAAAAAAACAGAAGCTCAGAACATCAGATCGTGAAAAAATTCCATTCCACAGTAATGTCACTTATTTCTGTACATAGATAAATGAGTAATTATTGATGGGCAACAGTCACAATTGACTGCTCCCCCCCATATAGCATGTCTAGTCTCTTCCAGATAAACCCTATTATGGTGGGTCTTCCATAGGGTGTGCAGGGTGTGGAGAGCCACTTCAGAACATACGTCCCATATGGAAGCCTGCGACTGGATCCAGGGTGGGGGCAGAGAAATAAGAGATGGTTTACTTGTTGTGACAGTCATAGGGCATCCAGTGATTTGAGAGGATGTTTGGACATGTACTCCCTAGCCTACTGCCCTGTAGCAAACTTCCAGCTCGCACACACTAGAACAGTATAAGGTGATACTCTAAAGGAATGGAAGACAGGTTAAAAAATGAAAAAGAGGATAAAAAGTCCAAGGGGAGATCCATCTGATTTTAGTATTTTAGACTGTGTGGGAGATATGATAGATGATTCAGAAGATGGATGAATATCTGGTGCGTACATATGTTGGGTTGCAGGATGTCCAGGGAGCCAAAGCGGCATGGAGAATACCTCTGTCCCCACACAGATGCAGGTCACACTTAATGCTCATTGGGGTTAGGTTCACTTGGGCCTGTACTGTAGAGCAGAACCTAATATATTGTGATGATGAGGATACAAGTCCCAAAAAAGAGGGAGGGTGAGAATCTACAGAGGTGCCCATAGTTGAAGAAATTATTTACAGAAGCTTGTGTATCAACAACAATCTTTATTGGTCATATAATATGGATGGTACACCATCTATGCGTTTCATGGCTCTAACGTGGCCACTTTTTGAGGAAGATGTGTGGGGATATCCTAGAACTGTCATAGTTGAATCAGGGAACTGACTTGTTGATGCAGCTCATATGTGTCCAGCTTTGTAGATCCTGGATTACAATATCAGCTGGGATTGTATTCAGTGCAATAATATCTGTGGTAGTCACAGTTCCAAGCTTGCTCCCTTAATAAGACTATAACGTCAGTACAAATTAGCTAACTAAATATGAAATTGTAATTAATCCCAGGAATTTGCTCGGAGCAGTGACTACTTTACAACACACACAGGGGCCATGGGGAACAGAAGTAGTCACCCTCCAGAAGGAAGGACAGTGTCAGCACCAATTCAGAGATGATTTGAGGATCTACAGCCGAGTGATACACAAATAAGATACATTTTTGTTAATAGATAAAGCACGTGAATGTATTTTTAAGATTTAACTCCTGAGTTTAGTGTCACTTTATGTTCCGTAAGCCATAGAAACCAAAATGATCCTTCTGTATAATTTGTTATTGTATTTATTTTGAAGGAGATAACAGCCTTGCTCCTGAACTTGCAACCGTCTGCGGCAGAGAGCCCCCGGGACCTATCCGCTCATCTGGCGATGCAATGTTCCTGCATTTCTCCTCTGATGGATCAAACACTGGCAAAGGTTTTAATGCATCTTATCATAAAAGTAAGGTTTGATTTCTTTATTGCACCATAATACTCCTGTTCACTGGGATACTCTTACATTAACACTACTCCAGTAGACTGAAGTGATAGTTTATACTTGGGGCAATATGCTGGGGTTATTATTGTGTCCTCTTAAGCCAATGCTGGTGATTTTTATTGCAGCCACTGACACTAATGATGACTCCAACTTTCATTTCAGTTTGCATTGCCGTATAGTGCAAATATTGCCGTAGTTTGCATTGCCGTATAGGCATTGAGGTGCATTAACTTCGAATGGGCTGTCTAACATGATGCAGTGCACTGTTTTTGTGCGGTCCTCTGAAAGTGTTGATGGCTGCATTTGAGGCCCTCTATAATTTTCAAGTTGACCACCACTGGAAGGCACAGAAAGTTCACTGCTATTGTGCAGGAGGAATTCAGACTTTTTTGGGGGGTCTCTGGCTGAAGTTTTTTTCAGAAACCAACTCTTCCAGGTGTGTCGATCACCATTGTCCTCTGCAGTGATCAGTGGTTCCTCACACTGACTCCCATGTCATCAAGGACACACAAGGGATGTGGACGTCAGTGAGAGGAACCACTGAGCAGGGGGAACAGGTGATTGACACTTATGGAAGTGTCAATTTCTGAAGTAAATTAAGACAAGGACATCCATAATAAATGCAAATCAAACAAATATACATTTGCCCAGCAAAATATCTCTTTAAGTTTTTGCCCAAGCACTTACAGTGATCACGTTTCCAAACAGCTCCAGATCTCTGAACTTTGCTTTTCCTAACTTCTTGTTGAGAACAAGATCACAAAGGATATCCCAGTCTCCAGCAGATGACCATGTACTAGCTTGGAGAAAGGAATAGGGAGGAATAGGGGGCAAAGAGCAGAGGAGTGACTTGCCTTGCTGTGCCTGTGCGTTTGAGAGACACACACAGCTTACTGGCACACAAAAGGTTTGCGCCATAGGACCCTGTAAAGGAAAGGAGCCAACCTAAAACAGGATATCAGGGCCAGTGCTCAGGAGACACAGTTGATTCTACTGGAAGCTTAAACTTTTAAACATCAAGAAGCACTGTCCATTGTAAGTTATTCCATCAGCATTTAAAATATCTTAACAACCTTTTGACTTTAATGTCACTTTAACACATCCCCTTCCTCTTTTAGGCTGTGGTGGATACTTACATGCAAACAGAGGACTGATAACATCACCAAATTACCCAGAAAACTATCCTGCCAATCAGAACTGTACCTGGCATGTGGTAGTGACCCCAGGCTTTACCGTCGTCACCCATTTTGATCCAGGTTTTGAAGTAGAGAACGTCGACTCTTCCTGTAACAATGGGGACTATATTGAGGTAAGCTCATTTAAAGGACCACTATGGCAAAAAATGTTGTATTTTGATAATGCTATGTAATCATTTTTTTATGTATGTAATTCATTATTTTTAATTAATATTCAGTATTTAATTCTGTACAGGTCAAAGAGATAGTGGCTGATTCATATAACTGAATACACAGTTTAGGAACTAAAGCCAGCAAAAGCAGCAATAGCACCCACTCAAATCAATTTAAATAGCAATAAAGGGAAAGGTGCACATGGGCAGGGAGGTACACAGAGTAATACCAAAGTTTTCCAGCATGCTTTCATGCTAGCCAGCAAAAAAAATAAAGCTAGCCATAAAAGCATCAATTTTCTATTCAATATTCAATCCATGGGGGCACTGTTGGCACCACCCAGCTTGACAAAGTGAGCCAATCAGCTGCAATCACTCTTTGGATAGTCTGACTGCAGGCATAGGCTGTCAGAGTACAATAGCTGGCAGGGGAGATTCCTCCATGGATGGGGGAATTGAGTGATTTCTTTAATTCGAAACCTTGCTCATACTAAATTGATCAATGATTATACGCACATATCTCTTAGTCAGGCACACAAGTCCGAGAGAAGCTGCCTAGCACGTCATGGCCAGGGGAACCCATTAACTGATTTGACGCCATTGTTGTAGAGAAAGTGCAAAAAGATCAAGGCCATTGGGTTGAATCTAGCAAAAGGGTTTACATTTGCAACAGAGATACAGATAGCAATAAAAAACTGACAGAGTTTCCAGCTTTCCCTTACTCAATACCATTTTTATTTATATCTGTGTTGCTATTGAAGATTTACTGTCACTTCCTAGTTAATGAAACCATTGTTACCAGGACAGGAAGTAAAGAGGAAATGGAACTGAGATTTGGTGAGAATACTACTGTGCCCTCCTTGCCGGAGAGAAAACTGTACCTGAGGAACTGCAGTGCATAGCTCTCTTAAGCAGCCATCAGATCATCAGCCTGCTCCTTTACCAACTATGGCTGCCTCCACACTGTGTGGAACAAGGCATGGCAATTCACTTAGAGGGTTATACACTATGGAGCCGAAGGATCCAGCAGTAGCTTTGGCTGATCCTTCGGCTTGCTTCGGCCACTTGAGCCCTTCGGTTCAGTTGAGCTCAGAATAGGCTGCTGTACAGGATATTCACAGTAGCACATACAGCAACTGAAAGCAGCCGAATTTGCTCAGCTTTGGCTCGACTGAGCCGCAGGGACAACCAAAGCGTGGAGAAAGACCTGCCGAAGGCGTGTGTAAGACGTTGTTTTTTTCTTTCAAGTTTTTTTTATTATTTTCTTTATTTTCCTATTTTTTTTAAACATTTAAAAAAAAATTTGTAAACTTTTTTTCATTTATTTACGTTTTATTCTATTCTGCCCGCTACCTTGGAATGCCGTTTGGCGGCATTCGGCTATTCACTCACTGCCGTTCGGCCCCTATGAGAATAGGAGCGATCAGCAGTGACGGAGCTGCCAGAGCTTTGGCTCAGCTGTTCCAGATTTTGGATCGGCTGAGTTGAACTCCTTCTGCATTTCGGCTCAGCCGAACATGCAGAGCATGTTCGGCTGACCGAAAGCAGCCGATGTATGGATGAAATCTGCTGTACTGAGGCGGAGTGAATAGCCGAACGTTGTTCGGCTCTGTTCACTTCGGCTCGGTTATTCACTCGGCTGCCTTCGGGAGCTAAGTGAGTGACCCCCTTAATGATGAAAAGATCGGCTGCAGAGAATCTATAGGCAATGACGGTACTTGTTGCTTTCCTTCTGCTTGTCTTTTTGGGCAAGACTTGCACATTACAGGTCCTCTTTCGATGCCACAATCGCTGTAGCTAGGTGTGCTTGTAATGAAAAGGAATACATTAAGCCAAATACATTCTTACTGAACAAAACCTGCATAATAATTCTGTTTGCAGAAGATGAGCTTTGCCCTTCCATATGACAAATATGGATAATATGTACCAAGAGGTTTGTACTATATTCAAAAGACGTATTGTGTCGGCAGAATTATATGAACATAACAGTGAATTCGCTTTTGATTTATTTTGTGCCACCAGCTAAGAAACGGTCCTGATGGGTCATCGCCTCCTTTGGGGACCACTGCCGGGAATGGGAAGTTGTGTGGCAGGGGCGCGCCATCCAGTATGCACACTACGGACAATGAACTGCTTCTCCGATTCATTTCTGATAGTAGTAATGAAGCCAAGGGGTTTAAACTCCAGTATGAAGCCAAAGCTTTGGGTATGTGTGATGCCTCTCACTTCATTCCTTTCATTGTACTGTTATAGTATATGTAAACCCGGACAATGAACTTCTCTTATTGCTCCATTTTGGTCTGTTAATTATACCTTTGGAAGCATTTTGTTATACCGTAGTTGTTCAATAAGTGTCGAAAATACCTGTCATCTTGTTAGAAAGTCAGAGTTGTCCTGTGCCTTTTGTAAAGATGGGCGAATGCCATTCACGGTTCATTACCACCTTTAGGCTTTCTATGCTCCTCCTTGCCATCTAGGGTCATATTGCTGTACAAATGACCTTCGCAAATGCCTATATATGGCAGCCAGGAAACTAGCATATTAAGAATAAAAGCTCTGCAAGGGAGGAAAAATACCAGAAGCCAGTGGGTGCTTTGCTGTAGGAAGAGATAGCAGAGGGAGATGGGGATGATGCTGTAGCACATTTCAGCTCCTTATTGTCCAGAACAGGCAGGTTGGGATGTGTTTTGACCAAAATATGCTGATGCTGCAGTTGGAGGGTTTGAGGACCTGGCTGTGCTGCTGGCATTAGCTGAAACAAATAAAAAATCCTCTGGCGGGTAAAGCATTTCTCACATATCTGTAAAAAACAAATCAAGGCAACTGGATTTGCTATATTTTTCTTGAAGACATTTTGCTGGTCATCCAACCAGCTTTTTTCAATTAGAAAGCTAGTCCGATGACCGGAGAAACGTCTTCATGAAAAATGCAGCAAGTCTCGTTCATCATCTCGAGAACCTTCACAGATGTATTTCTCATCTATTTCTATGTAGACAATCCATTAATGCATTCTATCTTTCTGTGTAGCATGTGGAGGGATCATCTATGTAACAGGTTCCAATTCAAGTGGCTATATTATGTCACCCAATTATCCCAGCAATTATCCTCCTAGCACAGACTGTGTATGGATAATCATCGTTCCAAACGGAGAAGCTGTGCAACTCGACTTCGAAGACCAATTCCATATTGAACCCTCTGACAAGTACGTACCTTTGGTTAACTAACCAACCGAACATTCATCGGCCAGTGTTTTCGCTATCAGTGCAGTAACCATTAGCAGCCAATCGCATTACTTCTTTTATTGTCCAGTATGCTTTCATTAGTAGAAATTGACTGGTTGATATGAGTTAAGCTGGCCATACAGTAATTGACTTTCAGCCAAATCCGGCTGAGTTGGCCAATTTCTGCATTAAGATAAAAAACACCCCACTACCTTTCCCTGGCCCCCACCCCCAAACACTTACCTACACCCCATATCCACCGCCGCCGGCTCCCAGATGATCTGCGTTGTTTCCCTTAAGTTCCCGGGATGAGCACAGGGATCCCGAGGCCACTGAGAGTAGGGCAGTAATAGGCTTCTGCACCTGCCCATCAATATACTGTGAGGAGGGAGGAGGCAGGAACAGGGGTGTGGCTTATTGTGTGCCGTGTGTGTCAATGGACGCACACAACATGGCTCATTACTGGCAATGGAGCGCGTACACACAGGTGTCCCCTTTGCAACCTGCTAGGCAAAGGAGGCACCCGTAAACAGGAGGGGAGGGGACTGTTATAAATTCTGTGAAATAATAAATTAAATAGGCTTCAAAAAAAAGCTACACAATTACAAGTGGATCTCCTCTGGGGAATTTAAAAAAAAACCAGAAGGGTTTAATATAATTTAAAAAAAGAAGAAATAAAATAAATACTGAGATAAGTTTGAATGAACTTTTAAAGTGATAATAAAGTCAAAAATGTTTTAAGCCATTTCCAATGCTGATAAAATCACTTACAATGAATGCTGCTCCTTGAAGTTTGCAGAATCAACTGCTCCTCTGAGCACTAGCTCCTGTTTTAGGATGGCTCCATAGGACCTTGCAAGGGAAAGGATCATATTCATGTGTGCTAGTAAGTTGTGTGTGATTCCACAAACACACATGAAGTCCCCATTGCACTATTCACTAAATAAAGCCTTGTGTTCCTCAGGTGGGTGTTACAGTGACTGCAGTGCTGCACATAATCAGAACTGGAAGAAGTCACAGGCATACCAATCTCCACTTTATCATTCCATCTATATTGGCCTTAGATAGTCATAACATCACATAGTTTCCTTCATCAGGCAAACATACTTTATTTGTCTGATGAAGGAACCTATACTGTTGTGAAACGTTGCTCTTCACTCAATGTGATGGTCTGACCACCTAACATCAATAAAGACGGAATGGTAAAGTGGAGAGTGGTGTGCCAGTGACTTCTTCCTCCAGTGCTGCAAACTGTTTGGAACCATGATGACTATAAGTGCATGGGCATAAATGTAAAGGAATACTTTGCATGGAAATGTATATTTGTTTGACCGTGTTCATGTTTGGAAAAAGTTTAGGCGTTTAATACTACTTTAAACTTGAGACCAATTGATATCAAATAACTTTTCTACCTCTATAATAGTAAAATTCCATCAATTCCATCTTTCCACCCAAACATTGCATTCTAGATGTTTTTTTTAAAACTAATTTCACTTAGACTTACAGCTCGCTTTAAAATGGTCCCTTTGTTGAATGAACATCTCCCCAAAGTGAAGGGAAATCCCACATTTGATGGAACAGGTTTTCCCAGCAACGTATTTCCCCTTTACTCCAGTTTCGGCGTCTAGCTTTAGATTTCTCCTCCTGGACTGTGTTTGTGGTCACATACTGTATAGATTCAGGGCTATAATTCAGTTTTAATGTTGGTGTATGGTCAGTCTATAGTTGCATTTCTAATATAATCATATCATTTTACACCAGCTGCAGCTCTAGTTACCTGGAATTAAGAGACGGTGCAGATTCCAATCAAAGGCTCCTGGCAAAACTATGCGGAGACACTTTGCCGATCACCTACAAATCTCTGGGAATTGCAATGTACGTGAGGCTCAGGACTGACAGCGGTACCCCGCGTGCTGGTTTCAAAGCCCGCTATTCCACTGGTAAGTCCCTATAGCTGTATATGTACGAGGTTGAGTCAAAAATGATCCGCACTCGCTGTAGAATTTATTTTAATCAACTTTTAGAAAACACAACTACATCATTTTTTGACATAATCTACTTGCTTTTCAATACACTTTGTCCATCTGTCAACAAGCTTTCGTATTCCTTCATTAAAAAATGTTTAAGGCTGAGCTGTGAGCCACAAATGCACTGCTGTCTTCACTTCTTCATCAGAGGTGAATCTTCATCCTTGTAGGGCTGCTTTTAGGGGACCAAAGCCACGTAATCCACTGTCACTCATCTATTCATACAGAATCATTTCACATATACGCTCCATGTTGTCATCAGCTGTGGACGTGGACAGGCGTCCAGCTGCCTCTTGATGGCTAACACTTGTGTGATCTTCCTTGAACTTCTCTATCCAATCATACATACTTCTTCGTCACAAAATAATTTCTCCATACTACGCACAAAGTCTTCCAAAAAATAACGGCACCAGGCACACCCTCAGACCACAAAAAAGCGAACCAGTGCACGCTGCTCTTCTTTCGTGCAAATCACAAGTGGGGCTTTAATTTTTTCTCGCACCGCAGTTACAAATGAACTGACGTAACACGTTCACACCTGCCCAGCAGTGACTGGGGAGACCGTAGGCTTGAACGAAAAGCGCTGATAAGACAGTCTGGCCAACAGAAGTTTTAATATAACCGGAGTGCAGATAATTTTTTGACTCACCCTCGTAATACAGTAATGGGAATCCTGTGCAGCAAACATGTAAAATGTGAAAGTGAGATACAAAATAAAGGTAACATTACACTAATGAATTAAAGCATGTGCTTACTTATATGTACTAGAGCTCCCCTTTAGCAGGTATCTTCTAAGGTAACACTGGGTCTAAAGAGTTTGTCTTTGTATAGTTGTGCCAGAAGGAGCTTCAAGCAAACATTGTAGGAGTCCAGAAATGTATTTGATTGACTTCACAAATGGCATAAGGAAGGTTTCGGGGGGCCAAATGATTACTCATCATCAGGACCTCAACAACCTATCACAGAATCTTATGGATTCTGGTAGCCTGGGTCTAGCCTGAAAACAACTAAAGTGGATGTCAGTATTAGATGTCCTTTTGCCGTTTTGAAATTAATCGGATACATTTCTGGACTCCGAATACGTGTTTGGTGCTCCTTCTGCACACTGATTTCCCAAGTAGTGTGACCCCCTATATCAGGAGAACCCTATTTGCGGTTAGCTGCCTAACCTAGACCATTGGACCTAAATCAAGACCTCATATCTACCAAGTAAGGACCTTGGTCCAGCAAGTCACTCCCTCTTCCAAGGTTTGTCATGTTGGAGGTTACTTCTGCAGTATAGCTCAGGCAATAACAAGAGGCACTGCTGGGACAGGAATGGAGGCAATGGGACCAGTGCAGTGGATGATATTTACTGGCAGTCCAATGAGCACAGAAGAGATGGGGCAGTGGCAGTGCCATCCATAAAGTATTACAGAGGTGTCAGAAGCACAAAGGAACCAGCTTTACAAAATCTTCATAACAGTTCCCATATGCTGTAGGTGTTATAACCACGGCCAGAAAGACTGATTAAAGGAGTTGTAAACGTCCGGCATATCCTCTCCTGGTATAACATCAGCATTATAATAGAAATACATACTGGAGTTGTTTTTGATAATACAATGAAAGCTTACATGCTGCCTTCTCTCTGCCCATCACTTGCATCAACTTCCTGGATTCCCAGTGTGCCTTGCGTCTCTTTCCCTTGATGTGATGTGATCTCTATTTCTCAGGACCACATATCCCATCATACATTGCTTCCAGCAAGCAATGATAATGTTACAATGTTCAAACGTTGAGTTGCAGTTCAGAAGGCAGGCTCTGTGAGAGTGGTGACCAAGTGCAAGTTTACAGGGCTGAGTGAAATGGTATCAGTGCATTGAGGAAGTCCATCCTATGGCCATCTTCAATAAGTATGTTTACAGTCTTCTCGATGGATGTGGTTATTAGGAGTGGGATAGAAGTTATGGAAACTCAATATAGAAATACAGATTTATTTTTTGACCATAGATACCCTTTAAGACTGACATGAACATTCTAATTGATATGTTTCATTTTGTAGCATTCTGCGGTGGAACACATTTCGGTGAGAGTGGTATTATTCAGAGCCCAGGTTACCCTTCAAAGAATTACACAGATTCCTCTTTGTGTGAATGGAACTTTAATGGTCCTACAGGACATTACCTGACCATTACATTCATGTCCCTTGATCTTCAAGACTCAACAAACTGTTCACAAGACTATATTGAAATCCGAGAATACAATGCATCTGGTGAGTGCTTAGAAGATGATTGACTTCTTGTTCACCTGCTGTAGGGTTGCCTATGTGTAGTTAGGTTTCTTTTCTATTATTAAAGGCATAGTCCACCTTTTGAAAAAAATAAAAATAAGTATGCACACAATCAAACAAAACTTTTTAAATTTGTTTTGCATTTGAACCTGCAAAGCATTGCAACTGTGATCAATGGGTGGTGGGTGCAGTGCACAGGATCCCTAATTGTTTAACCCCAGCCCGAAGTCAGTACGGAGGTACGGACCTTCTATTTTTGGGCTGAAGGAAGTATTCAATGCACTACAAGTGTGGCAGATGGACGGACACGGCGGGAGATAGGACTTGTAGCCTTTCCATTTAAAGATCCTATGAATGGATCTGTTAATGAATCACATGGCTGTGAACACATTAGAGCAGTTGCTTTGAGAAGGTGCATGGGGTTTCATTCTGACAGCATTGCACCACCGTCTATAACATGCATGATACCGTAATGCAATGGTGTGAAGGGTCCTACTGATCACTTCTGGACAGCTTGGCCTACATGTAAATGGAAAAAAAGGCATGTGAAAAAAATTATAGTTTGTGGAATGCTATCATTAAAGATAATAACACCATACAGAGAACCAGAATACGATATTGATCGGAGACATGATTTTTTTTTCTTTTCTAGGGAATTTGCTGGGAAAATTTTGTGGTAATACAGTACCTTTGGCCCTGAGGACATCAGATAGTTTTGCTTATGTAAAATTTGTCAGCGACGGATCTGTAAATGCCAAAGGATTCCGAATGCAGTATGAAGCAAGTATTGAAGGTAACTGAGGAATAGCTATGGGATGTCTGTAGAAAAATGCTGGACCTTTCTTTGCTGCTTTTATTTGATTATTAAAAAAATTGAATATTTTTGGGTTTTTTTTGCCATCCTTTGGCTTTGTCCTATCTCATGCAAAGAAAGACAGGTCCTCTTCATCAGGGTCTATCCATAAATGATGGGAAATATCTGCTTGAAAGTCAATGACATATTGACAGATTAGGGCAAATAAAGGCATAAAGCTTTCAGATATGTCTACAGAAAGCCTATGTCCTCAGATATGTATACTTGCATAGCCACATCGCCTCCACACCTGTCCAAGTTGCTCCATTGCCCACTGCTGTTGGAATGTAAAAGACAGACCCGGAGAGCCTGAGTGGAGGGGCTACATGACTAGGGGGAGGAATAGACCAAGGAGAAAGAGATTGGACGTGGGAGTCAGGTGTCCGGGAGGAGTCACATGGGAAGGATCTGGAAGGGCTGAGGGACGTCCTCTTTATGGAAATCGAGGAAGGAAGCAGGTTGTCTCACCCTCCCTCCCTTAATTTGGTAGTATGGGGGTTGTGGGGTTCTCTGTCACGGCAGCTTGGCGGGTTAGGGGGTCAGAGTGAGTTACAAAATGGCGGGCCATTAGCTGGTATGGGTGCTTCCCCCTGTTGGTGTCCGTAATTGTAAGGGGTGGGGCCTGGCCCCTTGGGAACCTGGAAGTAGTAGGTGTCCTCGAGCTGGTTGTGGTGCGGCTGGGGACATGGGTGGAGTGTTAGAAGAGGCCTTTTTGGGCTGTTGGGCACCCAAAGACCCTTCTCAGGTCAACAATTGTTTACAGTATTATTTGTGTATATTATTTGGTTTATTACTTTTGGTTATTGTTAAAGTTGTCTGGTTTAATAAAAAAGCGGCTGTGGCCGTTAAAATCCATGTCGCGCAGTCCGAGTGTTTATTGAGGTTTTTAACGGAGGGACGAAATTTGACGAATCCATCAGTCAAATATAACTGACTGAGAGGGGGGCTATCTGCAATTTTCAAGGGATGTCACCAGTACACCAAAGTTCAAAGTGAAGTCTGTAGTGGGCTATCTGAAAACACCCTCACTTTTCCCAAATGGGTGACGGCACAGTGTCTCTTTAAGGTAACCCTGTTTTGAGAACATTACAGTTTTGCCATAGCTAATCTCCTTCTAAAAATGCTGGTTGGGTGGCTGTTATGCTGCCTCTACTAGAGTTAATATTTCCTGAGTCACTTACCTAGAACAAGTATGCAAGTAAAGGGAATTCTGAAAAAAGTCAGATGACCTTATCTACATACTAATTTGCTCTTCAGTGTATTAAAGCAAGAGGCTCAGCTTGTCAGCCGGGCAGCCAGAATTTTCAGATATCATTAAAGGCAGCCCCATGTTTCTCCATGACTGGTTTCCATTAATATCATTGATGACAAAAAAAGTGAATAACAATTGGATATACTGTACATGTATTTCAGAATGTGGAAGAGAAATTGATGGAACCTCTGGAACTCTAAGCTCTCCTAATTACCCCAACCTGTACCCACATAATCGTGTTTGTGAATGGAGAATAACGGTACCAGAAGGGAGACGGGTCACACTGACAATTCATGACCTACGGCTGCAAGACCAACAGACCTGCGACTACGACTATGTGGCTGTAAGTGGGGTGTTAAATATCAAGGCTGAACTACAGATACATTGATTTGGTCCAAGCCCAAGGTACCCTTCCCTCCCCATCTCCAATAACGACACTAAGCAGTATTTAGGTTAACAAACTAATTTCAGAAGAAAACTGAAATATGTTTAGAAACGTGCAATACACTCATAATATTAGTGTGGTGAATAGCGCTGTATAACAAAAAGAACATAAAAACACATATAAGAAAAATCTCATGTAGTATACTGTACTCTGTGAACAAACGCAAATATAAATGTGAATGTAAAGAACCAAACCCTGCAATTCATAAGAGTGTTGCAGACTTTAGAACTGTGTTGTGTCTCTGCACAACAAATGCTGCTGTCTGCAGCAAATGCATGTGCCTGACAGAAACAGGGAAATGGGTTTGTTGCACACGTGAGGCATGATGGGGACCAGCGCTGGAGTTATTATACCACAGACACTTTATGCTCAGTGCATGTCCAGCCCCTGGACCAACAGCATCATGGCAACCAGGGACGCTGTGGGCCACCAGCATGATGCTGTGGGTTGTCAGTGTTCCAGCAACAAAAGACACTGTGAGCTCACAGCATCCTAGCAACCAAAGCAACCACAGCATCGTAGCAAACAAAGACAATGTGGGCTAACCATGTCCAGGCAAGCAGTGATGATGTGGGCCGAGAGCGTCCTACCAACCAATGACTCTGTGGGTTGACAACATCCTAGCAACAAAAGATACTGTGGGCCCAAAGCGTCCTAGCAACCAATGACGCTGTGGGCGAAAACAGCATTTTAGCAACCAGGGATACCAAGCGGTAGCAGCAACCAGTGACAGGTGATTGGAAGCAGCAGAGCCCTCCTTACTCCAAAAGGACATTTATGTTAATAACCTCCAATTTTCTTAACTCAGAAATGGTGGTATTTTTTAATGAACTTGTGGCAGCCACAGCAACATACACCGAGTGGCCAGTTTATTATGACCACCTGACGTTTGTAGGCTAATTAGCTATAATTTTGCGATGAAGTTGCTAGAGGGCCAGACCATTATAAATAGGGAAGCAGGTTGTTTACCACGACAGTAGAAGTGATTTGTTTCTGAAGATATGGGGAAACAGCGCGATTTAACAGCCTTTGAACGTGGGATGAATGTTGGTGCTCGGAGCCATGGAGCGAGTATCAGCAAAACAGCAGAATTCGTTAAATGTTCAAGAGGGGCTCATTGTTAAAGTGTTTAAAGACTGGACTGTCCGCCGAAAATCTGGGTCTGAACGTGCGAATTGTGGCCGTCAGCGACTAGTCAATGTTAGGACAGAACGGAGAGTGTCAAGACTGGTACAAGACAACAGAAGGGCAACAGTGCAGTGTCAGATTCCTCGCATCACCTTTCAACATCTCGTGGCCCAACGAAGTACTGATGGGGTGGTCATAATAATCTGGCCATTCAGTGTATTAGAAACATGTCGTAAATAAGAACTGTGATTTTTTTTCACCATCGGTATTAACTATGGAATTGTCACAAACCTTTAATGAATTTGGTGGAAGAGTTCTAGATGTAGCCATAATTGTGTTGCAAAGCCTTTACTGAATCACCGAAAAATATAATATTGTCTGTTACATGTTTCTTGATCCCAGGCGTACAATGGTTACCAGAACCAGTCACCTCTCCTGGACCAGCTTTGTGGCTATATCACTCCAGATACAGTTATCAGATCCTCTGGGAACACCATGAGAGTTGTATTTGTCACTGATGGGTCTGTTTCCAATGGAGGGTTCCAGGCCACCTTTACTTCAATGGAAGATGCAGGTAAGGGATTAGTTTGATTGTAAATATTATATAGCAGTACACACTCATATACCAGAAAGTGTATTTTACGTATGCTTTGGCTTACAGTACGCCTTTGGCACAGCCAACATTTGTAAATTTTCCCTATTACATAACAAATCTTCACTTTTTGAGTTCAGTTCTACTTTAAAGATGAGCTATATTAAGAACTATTTGAATCTAAACTGGCAACACTATAAACATGGTACATTTTGTTCTCAGAAGGGTTTCAGTGGCAAAAACATATGTTATTTAAGCCATGTAAATGACATTGACCTGTCACCTTCATCCTTAATGTATATCTAGAGTAGGAAGGGTTAAAACCTCTGTCAGGGCTTTTTTTGTTCGGGTTCAATTAGGGAAATTTACCTGCACTTCGCATCCTGGAGACACAATAGAAAGTGAGAAGAAATCTCATTAAAATGACGGGAAAATCTCTGCTTAGATAGTTGTTTACCCCAACAAGTGTCTTTATTAAAAGATTTTCTCCTCTAATCTTGTTCCATTACAATTTTGTATTTCCCATCACATTCTGTCTTACAGTGGTCACAAGCACAGTTAGTGAATCTCTCCTGTCATGGTGACCATTGTCAGCAGTGCAAAAAGTGTTGGGAAACTTTATGGTTGCCACCATAACAGGTGATGTGGAGAAATCTTCCAATGAAGACACCTGTTCCAGTGACAACTGCCTATGAGGGCATTTCCACTCACTTTAGGGAGAATTCCTCTCACTTCCTGTTGTTTCTCTGGGAGTTGTAAAGAGAAATCTCAGCAACGGGACTAAAAAAAAAAAAGAAAGAGATTGGCTTTAGATATAGGATTTTAACAGCTTCTATTTTGAAGTCATAATCAGCTTTTTCTATGAGATCTGAATATTTGTTAAAGCTGAGATGGGGGTGGGGGGGCATAATGAAAATTGTCTTGGTTTACCCAAATATACTCAAACTTGGAACAATTAAATAGAGTTTATCGGACTGTGGGCACTTTTTAAATCTGTCCATTTTTAGAGTTATAAATGGTGGGTGGAATATTATAGCAGCATAATTATAGTGACATAAAACTGTTTTGTCTTGAAGTCTGCGGTGGATCGCTCGTGAATCCTGTTGGAGGTAACTTTACATCTCCGGGATACAATCGAGTCACTAATTATACCAAGAATCTAAACTGCGAGTGGGTCATTCAGAACCCCAATATTTATAACTCCACTACATACATTGCGTTCAAGAGACTGCAACTGGAACCACACCCAAATTGCCTGAACGACTTTGTGGAAATCCGATTAGGTGAGAAGTGAACTGTGATTATGTAAGATTATTCAAAATATTTACAAATGCAAAATGGATAATTACATTTCTTGTTAATAATTATAGAATGGGAAGGGGTATGTCTACTCTCGCTATACCCCAAAATTGTAGATATTTAGGGGCTCCAATAGTGCATTTAAGGGCTTGTCTTCAAATGCCGATTCCCATTTGCATCAATGGTGCAGTGTGCATGGCAGTTCTGAGGCTTGCGTTGTGCTGTTTCTATTAAGATGCATTTGCATTGTAGGCAAAGCAGGTCAAACACAACCTTTTGTTCTGCTTTGCTTTCGAATGTATGTATTGAGCTGTGCTGTGTGAGTAGAAGTTGGATTTAGAGTGCTACCGTTTTTTGGCTAACTAGATTGTAGTGTAAGCTTTTGAGACGTGCTGGTCTCTTCTTTATGCAATATGAACTGATAATAAGAAACATTAATTTAATACATAAAAACAAAAAAAGGATACAGATGTTATCAACTCGAGACACATGAATGGTATTGGAGAGCTTCAAGTTGATAACATCTACTTGAAGTACCCAATGCCCTTCATGTGTATCAAGTTGTTACCATCTGTATCTCTTTATTGTTTTGTGTATAAAATGCATCTTTCTTACTTTCAGTTCATATTGCCTGAAGAAGAGGCCAGGGTGCCGCAAAAGCTTGAACTATGATATATTTGGTTAGCCAATCATTGGTATCACACTAAATCCAAATTTCTACTTTGTCGAGGGCTAATACGGTACAACATGCTACTGCAGCAGTGCTGTGTTCAAATGCAAAATACAGTGCTTGACAATGCCATCTAAACCCCTAAATAATGTTTATTATAAGAAGAAATCTGATCTGGCCACTATTGGTGTGCTTTAAAACAACCCTGTTACCTCTCTTAAATAATTCAGGCAGCAGTAGTGGAAGAGGTGGAATACTTATCTCTTCAGCGAGCAGCAAGGGAAATCATGCTGTCTTGCAGAGGTAGAAGCAGCTCTGTTGTCCACCACTTCCAGGTGTGTCGGATAAAGTGACTCCTGCTGGCTGCTGAGTCCTGTAGTGACCAATAGGAACCATAGTGCCCAGTGCCTCAGATGGCACCTGTCCACACTGCCAAAAATTTTCTGAAATTGTGGATCTGGGTTTTCATGAGCTGTAAGCCATAATCATCACAATTATGACAAATCACGGCTTGAACTATCTTGCTTTGCATGTAATGAGTCTATCTCATATATTAGTTTCACCTTTTAAGTTGCATTAGTAAAATGAATTAACTTTTGCACGATATTCTAATTTTTCGAGTTTCACCTGTATATTCTCCATTCAATTCTAGGGAGAGTGTCTTCTTATTAGTTGACAGGCAATTCTATATTATTTTAACTTGTATAATGACAGAGGCTGTTCCAACCCATTGAAACACCTTAACATAACTCTTAGGATGCCTCATACATTAAAACATGCCATTAATATAAGAATGCATTATTTATGTTACAGATGATGCAGATGGGGAGTTAATAAGCAGAGTATGTGGGAAGAGCATCCCATCTGTCCCCATCGCTCTGGTAGCACCTCGGATATGGGTACGCTTTGTTACTAATACCCAAGTAGAAGACATCGGGTTTCATGCTGAATATTCATTTACAGGTAAGCAATCACAACCCCACTGGATATCTTGTGGCATGCCCTAGTACCAGTGCATTTTGCAATGACCAGACTGTGCAGTAGGTGCACTAGCATCAGACAAGGAGGCTGGCTGTTTGGACGCTGCTGCTCCACCAATTAGGACCTTGATGATTAGCCTGATATTGCATTTCACAGTAGATGAGATTGAGTATTGGACAATTCTCCAAAGAAATGAATTGATGGTTGCTCTTTTGGGAGAGTACTATATCTGTAGAGGCAATAGGGTATTCCGTCCAAATATACCTTTGCACTTGAACATACGGTATAACTTAGCTGCATATTTCATGCCAGTCTGAAATTCTTGATAATGCTTGAGAATATAATGCATTACAAGGCCTGAATTAAGTAAAATCTTAGTCACTTAAAAAGTCACTTAAAAAGTGTTACTAGACACAGCCAAAGAAAGTCTTCTGTGTACCTTCAAGGGGCTTGAATTCCCTGAATGTAGGCCCTAGTCCTGGGGCTGTACCACTGGACTTCTTAGAGGCCTTTAAATGTGCTCTTATTGGATATAGGATGGGTGGTTGGATAGGAGTTAACTCCCAAAATTGGGTAGGTTGATCATTTAGTAAAAAAGTGAAACTAGGATCAGAGGGGTGTAAAGAAGAGGATATACTGACTACAAAAGGTAATATAGACATCTTGTGGTCCCTATTTGTAAGCAAGACTTTTAAAACCCATCTGCAGACATAGTTTTTTTTTTGGTTTGGATAAAGCAGTAAAAAGTTTAGAACCTATGTTGGATTTTTATTGCTATCAGTTTCCATATTGGGCAGATTTCTCGTAACTTCCTGAGCTTCTGATTTTTTCATCACTCTATCCAAAACTACAAATAAAACAATTTAGTTGGAGTTAGGTTTTAAAGCTAATATGACTGAAAAGTTAACTTTAATAATTTTTCAGATGAACTTTTGGCTGTAATTTGAAGCCCTTATGTAAACTGTATTACATGATAGACCACCAAAACTAATTTAGTTATGTGTAGACTGTTAGGGACTCCAGCAATTTAATTTATCTGGTTTATAGGTTGGCTATTCCTCCTGCCATGTATTTCATAATATAAAATATATCAATATAGAGAAACTTCTTTATAATGGCTAAAGCAGGTGGGCATACCTGGGAACTCAAATGCTGAAAATTCAGGAGAAATAGCCCATGCTGGGAAGCTAGGGGAGGATACAACCAGCTAGAATGTTTCGTAAATTTTAGTTCTGTGTGAGCTTAAGAAACATTTATGATGTGAATTTATTGACATGATGATGGCTTGCTTTGCCCTTCAGGTTGTGGTGGGATACAAAGTGGTGTAGCTGGCATTATATCTAGTCCCAACTATCCTGGAAACTACACAGCGGGAAGCCACTGTGCCTGGCACCTGGAGGCCCCAGAAGGACAAATTATTACTGTAAGTATAATCCAAAGACTATAGAGACAGACCATGCCCAGGCCTTGCCTTTACATACTGTATGTTCAGATTGCTAGAATTGAATACTTGAAATCTGGAGTGCAGAAACCTGGAGCTCCAGACGGGTTGGGTGATACTATTATATAGATTCTTTTAAAAGACCCATTAATGCAAAATACAAGTTACCTAAGATGTGAATTGGTCAGAACATCAGAGCTCACTTTTCATGGACAGTTTTAGGACTTGCCTAAATGGAGGCAACACCTAGGCCTGCCTGATCATGGGCCCTTATCATCATGGGCCTGATCTGGGCATACTTGCACAAAAGCAGCATCGAGGCATGCTGGGACAGATTTGGCACCAGAGTGGCAATTGGACTTCTCAGCAACAGGAAGGATGGCAAAACAATTACCATTGATAGTCACTAGATTAATACATAACAAAAGAAGTAGAAGCAGAATCAAAAAAAGACTAAATGGAATTGGAATCAGCTAATGAGGAACATTTCCAAAGACGAGGGCACCTAGTACTGGAATGCCAAAATGTGTCATCTTCTTCCTCATCCCCAGAACAATCAGTCCAGTTTTCGAGGTCCATTCCCTTTACTGCCTCATCCTCAGAACAATCAATATTAGGGAAAATTGTTATCATACTTACCGTAATTTTCTTTTCCTGGCTTATACTCATGTCGGCATACCTACGGGTCAGCTCCTCCCTCCCCTGACCCCACAGGACCACCCTTCAACTAGCTAATAAAAGACTAGCCCCCTCCCCTAGTACCTGTTCCATAACAAGCCGAGCGACAGGCCACCAGGGAAGGGAAATGTATGCCGACATGAGTTTTTGGGTCCATTGTTTCTGTCTGATACCAAGGGAAGGGAACAGAAGGTCTGTGCTTACTTCCTTAGAAACACATGTAACAGAATTGCAGACATGAGTTGTTGCTATGGGAGACTGGAACTGTAAGCACACATTAGAGTTAGGTTTAACAGTAGTTTAAACAGCCGGGGAAAGGCAAGAATTGATTGGTCAGGAGATATTCTAACAATTTATTTATTACAGGTATACTGTATATACAGTATAGCTCTGACAATCTACACATTTACACATTTACATCAGTCCCTGCCCTCAAGGAGCTTACAATCTAAGGTCCCTATCTCACATGCATACATTATAGGGCTGATTTAGACAGGAGCCAAATAACCTACCAGCACACTTTGGAGTGTGTGAGGAAACCAGAGTACCTGGAGGAAACCTACACAAGCACAGGGCGAACATGCAAACTCCTTACAGATAGTGTCCTGACCAGGATTTGAAAGTGCTAACCACTATGACACTGTGCTACCCCATTTTAGATGGCCACAAACCCTTTTTACTCAAAGGGTAAACCCGATCCAAGGAAGCAATGCTTGAAATGGTTGTATAATTGGAGGATATGGGGTTGGGTAGGAAACAGTATCTTATGACCTAATAATATAGCTGTATCAGTAGAAACCAAAGGCTGCAGAGGGTCTCGCTACAGAAAATATGGACCACTGTCACAGCCAAGCACACACAATCACAATTGTCCAATTTTTGGTCAGGATGTTGACCAGTCAGTGTCCTTATAGGAAGAACTTTTGGTACAGATTCTAGCTCTAGCCTACTCATACTGCTGGCCACCCTGAACCTTGCTTATTGCAGCTTAGTGGAAGTGTGATTTCTTGGCCTTTGTATCACAATAGAGCCTACAACAGTAGTATGTTCACTTATGGTTAATTTAGTGTTTTAGAATTTTTCAGAAATTCCAAATATGTATCTGATATTGGCTGGAAGGAGACATTTGATTGCTGGTTGATGTAACTTTCAGTATATTTAATTTCCTTTATTTACTGCATGTTTTCATATAATGTCCTTATCAGTCAGCGGTGTAAACATTTGTGTTCTTGTCTCTCTTTCTAGCTCTCTTTTGCTTATTTTGATTTGGAATATCACACAGTATGCCGCTGGGACTCATTGACAATAGTGAATGGTGCCTTGCCAAGCTCACCAATTATAGGACAATATTGCGGAACTACATCACCAGGGACACTCCAGTCTGGTGCTAATAAACTGTTGGTGATTTTCAATGCAGACAATTCCATACACGGAGGAGGGTTTTATGCTACCTGGACATCTGATTCTGAGGGTGAGATACACCTTCCTGTGAATGTTACAGAATATGGAACTGATTTAAAAAATATAAATCTATGAATATATAAAGCATCTCTGCCAATTTAATAATTTTATTGCTGGCCAGAGATACAATATGAAAATAAGTGAGCTGATACAAGTTACTTTTATCTTGATGTCCTTCTGTATCTGTGCAGTAATCCAACATGAAAAATATCCTGTACTTTCCCATTGTGGAGGAGATTCTTGTGTTATAGAGTGGTCAGTGATGCTCGATCTACTTGTGCAGGGTGACTGGTCTTGTGTCCACCCTCTGTAGTTTTCTGCATCCAGCCTCTAGTTAGAGTCAGCCAGCTCTACTTCCTCCACAGGGTATGTGCAACATAGTGATGATGTCACTTGTAATTTTAAAAGGTATTGACTACATACAGTTTATTGCATTGTTAGTATGACACACTGCTATTGGGACATACCTACTGTATAAAGCCAGTTAGCAGTTATATGGACTGTACATCTTTGCAAATTCCATAAAACCGACAGAGCTTTCATGAGTGCCGTGATTGTCTCCAGCCCTTGAGTACACTTTATTATGTTAATTTTTCTTCTCTTAATAGGCTGCGGTGGCTTTATCCATTCAGATAACGGTAACATCAAATCTCCAGGTTGGCCTTTAAACTTCCCTCTCAATAGCAGATGCAGTTGGACAATTCAGACTCATGAAAGCAGCCATTTTGAACTGACATTCAGTGAAAACTTCCACATTCCTGACAGCAGTGGACAATGCCAAAGAAGCTTCTTAAAGGTGAGAGAGAAACTTACATTTCTATAAGATTATTCAGCACCGCAATTAAAAGCATACAAGTACAAATCTGTTCCTTTATTGTTGCAGAAGTTGCCAATATAACCCTTGTACTCAATAGTTAGTGTTCAACCAGATTCTGCACGAGCGCCAGCCAAGGCATTGGCCTATACACATATATTGGGTTGCCCCACTCAAGCGGCGGCCATATTGAGTGGGGCACGTGAGATTAATAACGTGCTGGATTAGTGTGATCCTAGTTCATTTTATTACTTCATTGCTGTGCTGTATGTGTATAGACCAATGTAGTTGGATCTGTATGTGCGTTATAATTAATCAAAATTAAACGATTAATCGATTTTAAAAAAAATTCGATTAATCGAACACAAACATTTTAATAATTACCAGCCCTAATTATTATATTATATTATATACTTTATACCATAACTATCTTCTAAATTGTCATCTCTTGCCATTAATTAAAGGGATCTCCACTTTCAGCAAGGGTTGAAAAAAAAAATGACATGACCGCTTATTCAGACCATTGGAGGTCTATCTTCTTGGAAGCCCTACACAAAATGTTTCCATCACCAAGTACAGTAGCCCCAAGGGTGCTACAGTGCTCAGGGTTGCTTCACCTTTTCTGAAGAAACACAACTTTTACCTGGAGAGTTATTAAAAGTAAAAGATCCATTAAACAAATATTTAATGACTATAAAGTCTCTATCACTGGGTAGAAGAAGAGCATACTACATGGCGCCTGCACATACTGTATCTGCAACAGCTTCACAAACCTCCCTGTCACTGTTAATAACACCTGCTAGCTCCAATCATGCAAATGCAATCAACATCTTAGTTCCATGAGGTCTCTGACCCCATTCTGGTTATGATAAACAGATTATGTTGATTGGAGCAACAATTACCATATACAGTATATTCCCAGATAATTTTTTGTGCAAGTCATTCAGAACTACAAAAGCTAGTTGGATGACCAGCAAAACATCTTTAAGAAAAAAACAGCAAGTCCAGGTGCCTTGATTTGTTTTTTTACAGACTTCCCGTCCCGAATCTCAAGCTTGCCCACCCCTTAATACTTCTTGCAAATTCCTGTTGCCCAGCGAGGCTGCCCATCATAGTGATTGTGGGGGTGAAGCTAGGCAGGAACTTCTGACACTACCTGTAAATGATCCATTAAGGAAAACATTTCACAATGAGTGTTGTGATTACTGAGATGAAGAACAGAAATGGTAATATATAATAGCAGGTAGGGCTTACCCAGACTGTCTACAGATGGATTTTTTAGCCCTCTACAGTTATGAGAACTGGGTAAACGTGGCCTTCAGCAGGCATGTTAGGAAGAAAACAAGCAAGTCACTGATAACTTTCCCAGTGGAATGTACAGGATAACATCCACACTATGGTGCATGACAAGTGGTAGTGTTTTAAAAATATCCTTTGCTTCATGATTCATGACATATAGCTGTCATGCCAAAATGTAACTTATAAGAGACATTGTTCTATAAAGAACCACAAATATTCTTTAGTTGGCTATTTCTCAGATTTTCCCCCATAAAAGACTCATTGTATTGTATGTAACTAACGTGCAATGATTCTGACATATTTAGGGAATTATGCTGCTGGTGCATTTATCAGATGCAAGGCTTCATTTAGACAAAATGGCCCAGTTAGGCCCCTTTCACATGGCGTTTCAGACTACATCAGTTTGTCAGTTTTTAAGACGGATTGAGACTAATATTCAATGTATGTGTATGGGCGGGGCCGGATTTTCCACAAGGCCAACCAAGGCCCAGCTTCGGGGCAGCAGGGAGTAGAGGGGCAGCAGGGGTGTGGAATTCCTATCTCCCGATGCCCAGGACATGAAGTTTCCGGGCGCTGGGCGGGTAGTTGTTTTCTACATTTAGCACTGCTTCAGACATGCAGGGCTAAATGTACAGTGGAGAAGACACCGCTTGTTTTGTACAAGTGATTTTGGCAATGTCGTCGAAATCACTTGTATGCAGCCCTCCTTGGGCAGCACAGAGAGTAAATCCGGCACTGTGTATAGGTGAGCAGATGTAAATGGACTTGCATCCATTTACATCCATCCACTTACATCCAGGTCCGTCTAGGTCTGGGAAAGAAAGCAGAAAAGGTTTCCATGCTTTTCCATTTTTGTGAGCCTAGAAGGAACTCAACGAATGTAAACTGATGAAAACAGATGTCATCAGGTTGCGTCAGTTCAGTTAACATATATTTATATTATACTTTTTTTTTTTGCCCACCTTCACTT